TATAGAATTTGTTGACCTTTTATCTCTGAAAAAGAATAGTCAACTTCATATCTAACTGGGCCGTGCATAAGTACGGCAGCTTTCCAAATACTGCGCAGGAGCAGGACCTAAGGCAAAAACTCTCTACTAAAGTAGCATGATGTATTGGTAAAAGTCTGCTACCCTGTAAGCTTCCTGTGGGCAAGGATCGTGCCTTAATGACTTATCTACCTCTACTAGCATCTCAGTAACTTTGTACTTCATAGCAAAGTAGGCACTTAATAAATGGTTGATGAATAAACAGCAAATACAATCTTACCTCTCGCCACCCTTCATAAAATTAGCATCCTAAAATTTATTGTGTAATAATAATTGATCTTAACATATATGTTAAAGTATAAAGTAGTATTTTCTTTACATTTCAAAGAATAAGAATGATAGGGCTGAAAGAGGCTGATGATACCATACTGTCCAACCTCCCTCACTTTACAGATGAGGAAACAAGGCCCAGAAAAATGTGACCCATTCAGTCATCTAGAATCCTAATTGGTTCAAGTTGTTGTATGTTATATGGGTAATCTAGGTTGTAAATGCCTAAGGTTTTTGTTCACTTTTTTCTAATACATTGTTTTCAACTTTTTTGTGCCATGCACCCCCTTTAGCAATCTGGTGAAGACCATGGCCTCCTCAGAATAGTGTTTTTAAATATGTAAGTCAAAATACGTAGGATTACAAAGGAAATCAAGTATAGTGAAAGAGTTATCAAAATTTTTTTTAAATGTCACGTTCTAGGTTAAGAAAATCCATTTCTGGCAAGATCCTTGAGAACAGGTCTGAAACATGGTCTTGAATCTTAAAAGTGTTTTATGTATTTCTATGCAGCAGACTGCCCACAGATCCTACTGTTTTGTATCCCCCTTGGAATATATCACCTAGGACAGTGCCCTACATGAAGTGGGTACTAAATACAGAGCTGCCGAGTCAACAAAAATCAATTTGAGACATCAACATACCAAAAGAAGTTCAGAAGCAATAATCTAATAGCATATGGCTATGAGGTCAATTCAACTGAATAGACTCTGACACTATTATCGTGAGAAAGTCTATGTGCTTCAGTGTCTCTATTTGAACAATATAAATCATAAGAATACTTTAGGATATAATCAGAACTCTATATAAGCATTGTGACCTCTTTGAAAGTTACCATACAAACAGCACACTTTCCCATCTTAACACTTTCCCATAATTTCCCCATTGGTGCAGTAAACAAAAGCTTCATTTGTAGTCATGGCATGGGACAGATTTATCACCCATACAGCGGTAACCATAATATTACGCTTCATGTCTTAGAATGTTGTAAATTCAGTCTCACTGCACACACCAGGGTAAAAGCGTCACTTACTAGCCTTAATGGCTTATAAGCCTTGCCCATATACACCCAACTGTTTCATTCATCTACAACTCAGCCAGAACATAATTGTCACTGGGCTGAAACATGGCCTTGAGGGATCAATTTCCAAATGCCAGAGTTCATAAAGGGAGTCAGGGCACAATTAAGAACACCATTGTGTAAACAGATTTATAGAACTGAGAGTATTTTGCATGTGTAATTAAACACACCAGTCAGGGCCATGTTCATGAAAAAAATCAATTTTCAATAAATCTAGGAGTATAGTTTCTGTACTTACACTTGAATACTGACCAACATTTTTAGTTTTATTTGATTTCCAGCAACAGCTTTTGCTTAGAGATCAGAAGGGTAACAAGTGAAAGGTTGTTCATTCAGTGAATAAAACATTAATTACCTTTTATTAAAATTCATACTCTTTAATTCTTTAACTCTTAAAGACAAAAGTGTATTAGAATTTTTGAATTATACATTGATCCTAAGAATTAAACTACTACCCATTTTGCTAATTTATATTGTGCTCTTTTATTATAAGATGTAATGTCCTTGACTTAATGTAATCCCAAGTACTATCTCCCTGTGATCAATTCTAGTGAGAACTAAAACCGATAAGCTAGTTAAATGTGCTTTTACTAAATGTAGTCTATAGATAGTTGTCATAAAGATAGCACAGACTGAAAGGAATCTGGTTTATTCTTGCTGAAATCAAACAACTTGGGGCTCTAGGTACAAGATCCCAATACAAATAAATCTTCAGCACATGTCTACTAGCTGGACTTCTATCAACAATGTGAATATACTAATTGACTTTTAATCCTTACATAGCAGATACAGGTATATAAACATTCCAATTTTACAGCCTCATAAACTCAATGTTCTATTGTAATTCTTTTTTCAATCAGTAGTTCTCTTCACCACTGTAAATGTTAAATGTTCTGAAGAAAGAGGATAATTAAGGTTTTTTGGAGGATATAAAATAAGCACTTTTAAAGAAAACAAAATATACAGCTTTAGGATTTTAAGGGCTGTTAGTCACCCCCTACCAAAGTCCAACTCTGATTGCTCTTTAAAAGACAGATGAGACCCAGGGTATCCAAAGGTTATGCCGATGGAGCCTAAACTACTATCTACTTATAAAGCCTTTGGGTACAGTTGTCAATAATGACTGGCATCAGAGAACCAACCTAGCTAAATTCAGAGATTGACGCAAGAAGGTCAGTCATCAGTGGTAACAAACTGCATAAATGCAGCCACAGCAACTCCTGGAATGGTATAAAAAAAATCCAACACTAATCTATAGTTGACAAAGCACTTTACATACATTATCTCATTTGAGCTTTAACAATCCTGTTAGATAGATATTATTCCCATTTTAAATTAAGGAAAAATATACTGAAATAAACTAACTTGCCCAGCTATGTGGTACAGAGGGTAAAAGTGTTGGGTCTGGAGTCAGAATGGGTTCAAATCTGGTCTCAGACACTAGCTGTGTGACTCCAGGTAAGGCACTTACCCTCTGTTTGCATCAGTTTCCTCAACTGTAAAATGAGAGTAATAATAGCACCTGCCTCCTGAAGTTACTGTGAGGATCAAGTGAGATAAATTGGTCAAGTGCTTAGCACAGTGCCCAGCACATAGCAAGCACTATAAAAGTGCTTATTCCCTACCTCCCTTCCATAGTTACAGTTAAGTGTTGAAGCTGTGCAGAATTCCATTCTCCTGCTTCCGAGTCTAGCACTTTTGGTGGCATGGTGAGGTTGTGATCTGTGTCAGTGTCAAAACTACACATTGATGAAATCATAGAAATTTCGAAGTACTGTAGTTAAGGTGTCATCATATTTAGTTGGCAAGAAAGCCATTTAAATAAAAGTAATGTAATCCTAACTCTTTAACTTTAACTAAGAGGTAAATTCAATGATACAGTTAAAAAAAAAACCTTTTATTTTTTATTTATTTATTTTTTTAGGCAGTTGGGGTTAAGTGATGCGTCCTGGGTCACACAGCTAGTAAGTGTCAAGTGTTTGGTCGGAGGCCGCATTTGAACTCAGGTCCTCCTGACTTCAGGGCTAGTGCTCTATCCACTGCGCCACCTAGCTGCCCCTAAAAAAATAAACGTTTAAAGAGACACCACTTTATATACTTCCCTGAACTTGTAGCAAGAATGCTACAAGTTTTTAAATGCTATTTTTCCTATTACAAATAAAACACAAAAGATGTCTTATGCATGGAAAAACAGTAAAAGTAAACAGTAAAAAAGTTATGACTTAACTAACATTTAGTAATAATAGGATTTGACTAAAATTCCTATCTCCTGGAGTCCTATGCACCCCAAAACCAAATTTAGCAGAAGCTTATGAGTATATGCTTATAAACTTTGATAATGGCCAAAAGACTTTGGAATACTAAAAACAAAGTTTTTGTCAAAGTTGGTAATTATAGAAGATGTATAAAAACACTAAAAAAAGGGAAACACAATTTTCTATTCATGTTTGTAAAATAAGATTTAGATCACAATCTTTATCCCCCTCTATCTTCAACATAACCTATAAATTCAAATTTTTCATGAAAACAATCCTATTTTAAACTAGATATGACTCATACTTTAACCAATTTCAAGAAGAAATTTCTATGGTGATATAAGAAATCAAGGGGAAAGAACAAAGCTCCAAGCTGAAAATGATCACAGCCATATTTTGACCCCATTCGTTTGTCCCATCTTCAGTATTTAAGTAATTACAGTCACATCATTTCATTCTGTTTTATAGGTTCATCTTAAAAGCAAGGAATTTAGGTGGCTTAATGTCAACTTTTTTCCAGTTCAGAACATTTTCAAATAAACTATATGAATCAAAACTCTGTACCCAGCAGCGCAGTTATCAAATGAACAGAGAATTACAGCACTTTAGAGTTCAATAACTCCTTAAGATCTCAAAATTCATTCTAACTTGCCCTCAAACCTGGAAATGTTTTTTTTTCCCCCAATTTTGTGCCCTGATACTGCTTGACCATCAAAAAATATTTTCAACACATAAAACCAGGGATGTGCAGGTAAATGTTTAATATTCTATTCTCTAGAAACAAACAAAACAAATGTACATATGAGATACTTTCAAGTTTAATCTGCATTATTAACATTTTCTCCATCACTTTCTTAAATCTAGATAATCAACAAAACAATAAATCAAGCCCTGATTTGCAGCAATGGTTGATTCCCCAGGCAGAAATGCTCATACTAAAACTGGAACCATCAGCTCTCACAAGCCAGGATGAGCTAGCTCCATCATATCTGTGTGTGTGTGTATGCCATACTTCTTCCAAATATCTCATCCTATTTTATAACTATGTGTGTGTGTGTGTGTGTGTGTGTGTATGCCATACTTCTTCCAAATATCTCATCCTATTTTATAACTAAAAAAGTGTTGCACTATGACCTAAATACTCATTAACTATGAATTAATCAATAAATATATGAATATCCTCTGTGTGGAAGGCATGCTATGTTGTGCTAGACTGTCTGTCATAGTCCAGAAGAACTTAGTTCTGCAGTTTCAGGTCTATCACAAAGACAATTCTCTTCAGTTTCACTCACTCCTCCAAAGCAGGGACCAACAGACACATTCTGACCAATTTATTCGTAGTGTGTAAGGAAAGAAACAATATATTAAACAACAGACAAACCACATAATAGTCTTACACATGACCATTCGTTTGGTTGCATTTTCCAGCCTGAAGAAATCCTAAGTCTTTATAAACTGATTTATGTATGGACCAACACGCTACAGCGAGGACTGAGGTAAAAGGTGAAAGCTATTTGACAGTTGCACAGGAATAATACCCATTAATTGGGAAAGAACATTAAGAAATCAACAGTGCACAGGAGTTCATTAACACGAACGCTAAATTATATTTAGTTGAACCTATTACTCCTAATGTTCCCAAGGAGTAAAATTGTGCAGATGTCTGCTACATGTCCTTAATACCCAATAGCTCTAGCTGTCAATATTGTTGATTGAAAGAATCAAAAGCTCAAGTACAATAACAGAATGAGGAAAGTTAATAATTTAGGGACAAATAGTATTTTTGCTATTTAATTGATAAGGACAACATCAATCTTTTCACAGTTTACAAAATTAGCACTGCAGGCATTCAGAGTTTTAAACTGAGAATGAAAATATAAAAATAACAAATACAAAGCATTCAGGGGTCTTACAAAGAAGAAATGGAATAAAAAGAGTATTACATATTGCTGATTAAAATTTGTTTAATACTAAAGAAGCTGAATAGCCTCCTTCAATAACAAATGACAACTGTTTAAATGTAAACTCTTTGTGCTAACAAGAATAAGTCCTGCCACTTACTTTTTGAGAAGCAGAAAAGACTGAATTCTCTTCCTCAAATTCAATTTATGTTTGCTTTAAAAACTACAGTTCTTCAGGCAGTTTTAAAAGAAACACCAGCAAAGGGAAATGTCCTTCCAATGGTTATATTTCTGGAAGATGAAACAGATTTAAAGAAAATATGCATTGTTCACAAGATAATTTACTATTTATTTCTTTGGTACAAAGAAAAATTCAGGTGTTCTAAAAAACTCTTAGTCCACCTCCTTACTAACATAATGAGAACATATAAAATAATTGCAGCCCAGACTATGAATCTAGGTTAGATTCATGCTCTTCCACAGCATCCACCAGACCAGCAGATCCATTGCCAACATTTTCTTGGTTATCTGAAGACTGAATTAATTCTTCCTGCTCACCAGGAACAAGATGGGACGAAGATTCCTCCTCCTCTTCTTCATCCTCCTCTTCTGCCTCCCCATCATCTTCTACATCCATTTCAAATACTCTAACGTGACGGAGATTTGAGCTTAACTAAAGAAATACAAAAGTATTCCGTTTTAAAGATATTTAAAATATTAAAAAATTTTAAATCAATACCTTTGAGCAGCCCGATAAAATGGAAGCAGAAACTGAAAAGTGGTTTTTTCTGAAAAGGAAAATAACTCATTTATCTCAATTTATACCAAAATCACTAAATTTTAGCCCACCAATGTATAAATGGAGTATGTGGATTATAAAAATGCAGAGTATAAGGTTTTAATTTAATACTCTCCAAACACAAAACTAAATAGCAAAGAATCCAAAGAATTCATGAAACATGCCATAATCAATTTTTAAAATCCGGTTAAAATTTAAATACTTACTACACAAGAGACTTTCCGAAAACCATTCACAGCAACATATTGTGCTTTCATGTTCTCCAGTATTCTCCATTGACTCTCCAGGAAGACAGTATGTGTAGGTACAATATCACTCTGTTCATCTAGCCTACACAGAGTAAAAACCATAATAAATAAAATTATTGCATTTCCTCATTTGTTGGAGGAAGAAGGGGATAATACTATTGTGCTGTAAGAAATGATGAGCAGACGGACTTCAGAAAAACCTGGAAAGACTTGTATGGACTGATGCTGAGGGAAGTGAGCAGAACCAGGAGAACGTTGTACACAGTAACAGCCACATCGTGTGGCTTTGATAGACTTACCTCTTCTTAGCAATGCAGTGATCTAACACATCTCCAAAAGTCTCGTGATGGAAAATCCATCCAGGGGAAGAACTATGGAGTCTGAATGCATATTGAAGCATACTATTTGCTCTTTTTTTTTTCCTTCTGTTTTGTTTTGTTTCTTCTTTCTTGTGGTTCCTCCTATTGGTTCTAATTCTTCTTTACAACATGACTAATGTGAAAATATGCTTAATAGGAATGTATATGTGGAACCTGTATCAGATTGCATGCCATCTTGGGGAGGGAGAGGGAGAAAAATTTAAAACTCAAAAGCTTAAGGAAGTGATTGTTGAAAACTAAAAATAAATGAATTAATAATAATAAAAAAAGAGGCAGAGAGTTAAACCTGCACCTTTAACTTCTGTCCAAATTCACCTAGAATGTTTCTCTTGAGAAACTAAGAAAAAATTCTACAATTTTAGCACAAGATCATAGATCTAGAGATGGAAAAGACCCCAAAATTAATCTAGTTCAGTCCCCTCATTTTACAGATGAGAAAACTGAGGCCCAGGGAAGCTAAAGGCTTGCTCAAGGTCTCACAATTAGTGAGCATTAAAGGTAAGATTCAAATCCAGGTCTCTGACCTGGCTAAAGCAAAAATTAGCCTAGGAAATCATCTTTGACTAAACAATCACCAACACCTATGTAATCTCTCCAAATATTTTCTGGTTTTTCCACTATTCTCTATTTCCAATACCAACTTATCCTAGTTTTACTCTTCATAATGCTGCAATTTCAAACAGGCAAAATACCTGTAATATTAACTTAGCTAATGAAGTTTTAAAAGAAGGAAAAATCTGGTTGTTCAAGCCTCAGTCGTCCAAGGCTTTTTTTGTTTTTTTGAAGGTAGCAACTTATGTTTTTTATGACCCTTAGGATGAGTGGGTGTGGCTTGTATCACAGTGAGCAAAAGAGTACAAAGTGGGAGTTACCTCTACTCTATCGTGTACTTGGCATCCCATTTTGAAAGACGACCTCTTTGTTCCAAAAGGTAAATTCTAGAGGCAGGAATATAGTCAAATTTAGAATAACCAGCCTCTCATTAAATCTGTGGTAATGCTGTTCCACGGCTCTCTTGTTTTTGTTTTTTTGTTTTGTTTTGGTTTTTTTTAGGCAACTGGGGTTAAGTGACTTGCCCAGAGTCACACAGCTAGTAATTGTCAAGTGTTTGGTCTGAGGCCAGATTTGAACTCAGGTCCTCCTGACTTCAGGGCTGGTGTTCTATCTACTGCGCCACCTAGCTGCCCCCTTCCATGGCTCTCTTGGGATGTGTATTTGAGGAAATCACTTTAACCCACCCAAGTACATCTCACCATGTTCTACTAATTTCTCCTCTGTTTCAGAAGGTAAAAGAATAGATGGGAATTCCCTGCTTTTCAGTTACCCAATATTACACTACACTTATCAACTATACCCTAAATTACTGACTCTACATTCTCCATTGTAAAAATACATTCAACTATCAGCTGAGAGAAGTAACATTGTCAGTTTTCCTGTACCTTTTACAAGTTGTGCCACTGAATTCCTTCTCTGGAGTATCTTCTTTAGTATATACTAAAGACAATGGTAACTGAGCCAAAACTCTTTCTTTGCCTTCTTGTTCTTCATTCTCCTTAAGAACCACTGTTATTGTTTCATCATCATAAAAATGTGCATCAAGACAGCTGTAGGAGCTGGAGTAAAAAGGAATTTATTATATTTAGAGATCATCCATTAACTGAGTGATCACTTTAAGCATAGGCACTGAGGGGGAAAAAGATCAAGTCACATCTTAGTTGAGAATATATTTCAAGATTCATTATACTTGGATTCATTTTATTTTCTTTTAAATTCCTACTGACCTGCTGTTCTCTAACTAATGACAGATAGGTCTAACAAGATTTTTGATGACACATTCATGAAACCAAGAGTACAGAGACAATTTGTTCATGGTAACAGAACCTGCTTGAGATCACTATTCAGACTTAGACCCTTACTCTATTCAGTCACCTATTCTATGGAGAGCCCCAGAGAACTCAGTGTAAAGTATGCCTTATAGGAAACTGAGCTGACTGGCACCAAGGTAATTCCTAGGTTTTTTGTTTATTTGTTTTTTGTTTTGGTGAGGCAACTGGGTTTAAGTGACTTGCCTAGGGTCACACAGCTAGTAAGTGTCAAGTGTCTGGTCTGAGACTGGATTTGAACTCAGGTCCTCCTGACTCCAGGGCTGGTGCTCTATCCACTGTGATACCTAGCGGCCCCGATTCCTAGTTTCAAAGGCAATTCAACTTCACTCAAACAAGTCAACAGGGAGGTAGAAGTGAGATTTCATGCAGAAAGATAGACAATTCAAAAGCCTTTGCCAAAAAGTAATGCTTCCTTTTTTAAAGACGGACAATAAAAGAATGGGGTTTTTTTGGGTTTTTTTTTTGTTCTTTTTCTGGCGAGGCAATAGGGGTTAAGTGACTTGCCCAGGGTCACACAGCTAGTGTCAAGTGTCTCAGGCTGGATTTGTACTCAGATCCTCCTGACTCCATGGCCAGAGCTCTATCCACTGTACCACCTAGCTGCTCCAGAGAATATTTTTTGAAAGATTTAAAAAATTTAGCTTTTCTACATTACTTTACTCACTTTTATCAGCTAACTCTCAAAATAATTCTGGAAGATGAGTTATTTTTTATCCAAATCATGTACATAAGAAAAAGTAGGCACAGTAATGAGAGAGATCTACAGTATATCTTGAATTAGTTACAGAGTAAATCTGGTATAGCCAAAATCAGAACTTTCAATATCCATACTATCTGTCTCTTTAACCCCCAGGGCAAAACTGCCTCCTTGGCCCGCAAAGCTTAAATGTCCTAATTACGAAACACCTTATCAAATATGTTGAGACGCAGCATGGACAACAGATGGAGAGCCAGCCTCAGAGTTAGGAAGACTTTGGTCTCAGAGCCCTGGGCAACTCCCTAAGAATAAGTTGCAAAGAAGGTACCAACTGGCACTGCTAGAGTTTTCTCATTTGTAAGTTTCCTTTAATGAAATCACAGGTCTAGGCCCCATCACTATCCTTATGAAACATTCTACCACAGCATAATTAGTTCAACTACAGATTAAACCATTCTCCCGTGGACAAAACAAAACGTAAAGAATTTTTTTCCATATAGCACATATTAGAAGCATTATAATATGACTGATATTCCTTAAGTTCAACTTTGCTTAATTGAAATATACGTGAAATATTAGTTTTGGAGAGTAAAATATGCCCCAAGTAAATGACTACTACTAATTAATTGTGTGTTCTCTAGACAAAGCTCAAGATATACCTATTTTCGAAGCTTTCATTTGTTGTATTCAAGAAATTTCCAAATTCAACAGCAAGTAGTCCATTATTGACAGACCTTGGAGAAAGGAAGAAAAAAGTCAGAATATTCTGTGGGACAATCTGGATAATTCAATACTATAAAAGCTTTTTCAAGGACCTGACTGGAAAATTCAGTACATTACTTACATAATATATTCTCCCTAAAGAAATATAAATTTAACTATCCCTGCAGAAAACATATTAGTTGAATTAAAGCATCAGGATAAATAGAACCTACCATCAATATTTTATAACTCCTAAGAACATTATGTCATGAGTGAATTAAGAAGGATTTTTTTCTTTTCTTATCAGGCTCATCTTAGCCTCATGAGATTTCCTTTAAACTCAGGCATAAACCCCACCATTTTTAAAAGGAATTGAGAGTCCCTGGAATCCCCGGCCTCAGCACAACAAAAGAAGCTATTATCAGTGTGGGAGTGGGGCATGCTGCTCCTTTTTTACTAAAAGGCAAGTCTGAAAGCTGAAGTGAAAGTATTATAGTGTTATATAGAAAGTATTATAGTAAAAAGAGAATCAGATATACTAAGGAAATCGAGGCTCTCTTCCTAGCTCTGCCACTAATTGGTTTGTGATGATGGTCAAGTCACTTATCCCTTTCAAGAGTTGAACCCTCAGTTCTCATTCATGAAATGAAGGCCTTAGATTCAATGATATAGTTCAATGGTATAGATCACAGAATCTAAGATCTCTCCCTGAGGCAACAAATAACCAAACTCTGTTGCTTCTCAGGGAGTTCAGAAGAAATATGTAATACAATAGTTGATTCTGGGATTGTTTTGTCTCCCCTTACTGCAGGGGAGGTTACACTTAAAGAATGGATTCCAATGTATTTTCCAATACACTAAAGAATTGCAGAACTGGAGATTATCTAATCCAAACCTTTCATTTTACAGATGATGAAACTGAGACCCAAAGAGATGAAGTAATTTGTTCAAGGTGATACAGTTAATTAGTAGCAAAACCTATATTCAATTAAGAATATAAAGAGACAGGGAGGAAAAACTCTATCAGTTTGAGGAATAAGGCTATGCATATCATATTATTTTTTCATTTTAACTTAATACTAACCTTGATATGTCGGTATGTCTCCTCAAAATGTAAATTTTAGAAGCTGAACTACCTGACATAGTAAAGAGTACGTAATGGAGATTTGAAGATTTGTCATTCCAGCTGAAAAAAAAAACAAAGAAAAGTAAAATAAGTTTTAAAATGGAATTTAGTAACTTCTACTAAGAGAAACTCTGAAAGATAAAACAAACAAAGGCTTACAGGAAGGGCAATTTGAACAATCTAGATGTAGAGTCCTCACTGAAACAAAAGAAAAAATAAGTCAGCAAATTCCAAATTTGCTGCTGAATTATACAGTGAAAATGTAGAGAAAAATACCTTTTAGCAGCTTTGTATAAGGGAATACAGACAGCCTGATTCACTGATTTTCCAATAACATCCTATAAAAATGAATATTTTAAAATTGAATAGAACATGTTTCTTGAGACATATGTAGGTGTTCTAAGAAAAACATCAAACAATAAAAAATGATGGATAGTTACAGTCTGGTTGCTGTATAAAATTATCTAATAATAAGTCTTTGTTTATACAACACTTTACAAAGTGCTTTCTTCATAAGACTCTCATGAAGTATGAAAAATAAAGTATCAGTCATATTCACTACCTTTCTTCAAAACTTCTTTAACTCTTCACCCAATCTTCCAGTTTTTAACCTCCCCCTTTTCCAAAGTGCACCCTAAATAATGCTCCTAAGGCACACATCTTATTTCCTTGCTCTAAAGTTCCTAAGTTTCCCACTGTTGACTCAATAGAACATAGACTTCTTGACCTGGCATTTAAGGACTATCACAATGTAGCCAAACCTACCTTTTCGACTATACTTTAAACCTTTTCAGTCAAAGTAGGCTACTCACTATTTCTCAATCTGTGGCATCCAGCCTACAAGCATTTGCATGTGATCCCCTTCATCTCTTGCCTGTAGAATTAAAGGACTAACTGCAATACTACTCCTTCCATCAAGCTTTCTTAATTCTTCTCATCTAAAAGTAATTCCTTCCTTCTTCAATAATTTGAGAAACTTTCCTACTCATTTAAATTATATTCTAACTTGTTAAAGTGAATCCACCATATACAAATCTCTTCTACTGTACTAGATGTCAAACTCCCAGAGACTATGTTGTCTTTCTTCTTCATGTCTCCAGTCCCTAAGGGCCCAATGTGTTGCTTACACAAAGTGCTCAAAAGACGTTTATTGAATTGGAAGTGAGACTCAGAGGTGAAGTAACTTCTCTGTCCACTGCCATGTAACTAATAAGAGTTAGGGCCAGGGACTCAAACCCAAATCTTCTGATTCCAAATCCAGCACTCTTTTCAATAAACATCATCACATTGCTTCTGAAGACCATATCTCTTTTCTCAAGTAACTTCAATGAGTGTAGCAGAGGAGCAAAACTCAACAGAAGAAATCTGCCTGCTCTAAGCTCACACCATCCATTAGCCATCCCTTGAAACAAAAACTACGGCTTGAGCGGTACTAACCAAAACTCTTTATGCTACTACTGTTCATAATGAGTTTGTTCAGTGACTAAAATACTCCAATGCTTTTAAGACTATTCCTAATTTTCCTACCCAATTTTTAAATGACCACAACAATAATTAATCATTTATAAGTAAGACATACAGATATTCATGGTACTGAACTATCCTTCCTGACACTGTCAAAAGAATGTTCCTATGCATAAGTCCACTTCCTCACTTAAAAATCATCAGTGCCTCCTAATTGTCTATCAAATAAAATTAAAACTCCTCTTAAAATTTAAAGTCTTCCATAACCTGGCTCCAACCTACTTTGAATATTATTTGAAACTTACTGCTGGTTTTTGTAAACAATGATCGATAATGCTTTCCATCTGTCTTTTCACGAAATGCAATGATTTTTCAGGATAATAGGGAAACAGCAAAGGACTTTCTGTAAACAAAAAGTTATGATTTAATACAAAAAAAGATTAGAAGAAAGTATCAACCATTAAGGAGGTACAACCAACAGTCCCATACTATCATTACAGAATTCAGTTTAGGTATTTCAATATGTCTCACACAAACTAAATATATTCAATCAGTCAACAAGTATTTAATTGCTTACTCGGTATATTTTATTGAATACATTTTTTAAAAAATTCCAAAAGTACTGGATAAATTTGTTTTTAAGTTTTGTCAGGAGGGTCACCATAAGCTAGAAAATTCAACTATGTGGAACATTTTACGTTAACATACAAAAAACTCATAAGTGCTATGATATATAGGGATAGGGACTGGATCTCTGATTTCATTGTTACAGGGAACTCCCAGGTGAGGAAATACTCTCTACCAAAGTAGATAGGCACCTTCTCTACTTTAGCTAGAGAGTTGCCTGAAGCACTGAGAGGTTAAGTCATTGCCCAGGCTCAATCAGCTAGTTCTGTCAGAGGTGAAACATGAACTCATGTCTTCCTGACTTCAAGACTCTATCTACTATGTCATACTATTTCTCACAATATGTATAGAAAAGAGTGAATCACTGCTCTCACAAGTCTTATATTAAGGGAAAAAATCATGATAATCTCATAATTTAAAAAGTTATACTAATATGGACACATATTATCATTTCTCCCATCCCACTAGACCATAAGTTCCTTGAGAGCAGGTATTCTGTCATTTAAAATTTTTTTTCTGTATCCCTAGTAGTGTCTTGAATGTTCATTGAATGAAAAAAAACCTGAATTTTAGTTATAGATTTATTCCCAGAAATGCCAGTTTGTGTGGAGGATAAAAAGGCATAGTCAAGCAACATTCTTCTAGCATAACACTAGGATCCTAGGGAATAAATAATCAAATATGTCCAAGTCACCACCATCCTGAAAATACACCTTCAATAAAGCACAGCATTCCCTCAAGCTATCATCCTATATCTCTCCTTTCATTCTTAGCCAAACTCCTTAAAAAAGCTGTCTATTCTCCCTGCCTCTACTTCCTTCACTCTCAATTGCACCTCAACCCTTTGCAATTTAGCTTCTGATCTCATCATTCAACTGAATCTGTTCTGTGCAAAGTTATCGATGATCTCCTAATTGCTAAATCTGATGGTCTTTTCTCAATCTGCTACATTTCATACTGTTGGCCACCTCTCCCCCACAAAAATCTTTCCTCTCTGGGGTTTTGTGACACTACTCTCGAGGAGCATCCCTGCTACCTGTTCAACAGCTTCTCCTTGTCCTTTATTAGCTCACCATTCGTATCACATTCCAGCGAGGGGTGTAACTGAAGGTTCTGTCCTGGGCCTTCTTCCCTCTCTATTCCCTTGGACACCTCATCAGCTACTAGGGTTTAACTATCTTTTCAATGAAGATGACTCACAATTGTATATAACCAACCTGAGTCTCTCCCCTGAGCTTTAGTCTTATAACAACAACTGACCTTTGGCCATTTTTCAAATTACATGCCCTTTCAACATCTTAAATTCAACGTCCAAAACTAAACCCTTCTCTCTTCCAAACTTTCTTATTTCTGTTTAATGCATCACCATTCTTCCAGTCTTCCAAGTTAATAAACTCAACATTATCCTTGTCTCATAACTCTACCTCACTTCACACATTCAATCAGTTGCCAGATTTTCCCATTTCTACCTTCACAACATCTCTACCCCTTCTTGCTTCCGAAGACCTAGTCCTCTAACCCAACTCAGCCAAACACAAAAATGGTCATACCCTTGATCTTGCCAACACTTACAAATGTATCACCTCCACATTCAAGAACTCTGAAATCTCCTTATCCATCTATAATCCATTGACTTTTCACCTCTCCCTCTGCCTCTCTTTACCAAATTCTACTCCCCATCCTCACCATCATCCTCAATATCTTGACCCCTCAATCCTCTTCCAGGCCATCTCCCCTACACGAGCCATTCTTTCTTTTTCTCTCCATGTTGACCTCTTGGCGAACCAGTTCAACTTTACACTGTTTCTTGAATCCCGAGCCCCCTTATTTTACCAAATATGTCCTGCGTAAAAGCTCACCTTTGGACTACTCCCACCATTTGCTGTCTCTGCTGCTGAATAAAGGTGGAGAAAATCATTCAACCACTCTGACTGGATCCACTCCCAGTTTATTACACAATCTTGACTGGGCCCTCACTACTGCTAGGCAATTCTTCTATGCTTCCCTTATCAACTCATTACCCCATTCTCCACAGTGACTCTTTCAAACTGTTTCATCCCTCCTCAAACATCTCATGGCTCCCCTCCCCCAACTCTCTTGGCTAAGAACCTTGGCTCATATTTTACAGAAAAAAATTGAAGCCATTTGTTGTGAACTCCATCTTCCTCATCTCCTATCACTTTGGTGTCTTCTGCCACTATCTCCTTCTTCATCCCTGTCTCACATGATGAAGTGGCCTTCCTCCTTACCACTTGTTCAAGCAATTCCATTTCACCCCATGTCCTTCAACAGACTGTCCCCTCTGTCATCTCCACTCTCACTTATTTTCAATTTCTCCCTCACTATTGGTTCATTCTCTACTGCCTACAGATATGCCCATGTCTTCTGAATCCTTGCAATCCCTGCAAGCATCCTATTATCTCTTCTGCTTTTTGCAGTTAAACTACTTGAAAGGCTGTCAACAGCAGTTGCCTCCACTTTCTCTCCTTTCACTCTCTTCTTAATCCCTTACAATCTGGCTTCAGATATTAACATTCCACAGAAACTGTTCTCTCCAAGGGCTATAAAAATGTGCATACCCTTTGACCCAGCAATAGCACTTCAAGAGCTATATCCCAAAGAGATCATACAAATGGGAAAAGGACCCACATGTACAAAAATATCCATAGCAGCTCTTTTTGTGGTGGCAAAGAATTGGAAATTGAGAGGATGCCCATCAACTGGGGAATGGCTAAGCAAGTTGTGGTATATGAATGTAATGGAATACTATTGTGCTATAAGAAATGATGAACAGGCTGACTTCAGAAAAACCTGAAAGACTTGTGAGTGAAGTGAGCAGAACCAAAAGAACATTGTACACAATAATAGCCACGTTGTACGAAGACTAATATTGATAAACTTAACCCTTCCCAGCAATACAAGGATCTAAGACATCTCCAAAGGCCTCGTGATGGAAAATGCTATCCACATCCAAAGAAAGAACTATGGAATTTGAAATCCTATTTTTTTTCTTTTCTGTTGAGTTTTGTTTCCTCTTTCTGGTGGTTCCTCCTATTGGTTCTGACTTTTACTTACAGCATCACTAATGTGAAAATATGTTTAATAGAAATGTATATGTATAGCCTATATCATCTTGGGGAGGGTGGTGGGGAGGAAGGGGGAGAAAAATTTTAAACTCAAAAGCATATGGACGTGATTGTTGATAAATCAAAACAAATTAATAAAAAATTAAAAAACAAAAAGAAATTGTTCTCTCCAAACTATCAATGGTAGTTCCAAAGCTATCAGTGATCTCTCTTAGTAGTCAAATCCAATGACCTTTTCTCAATCCTTATTCTCCTTGACCTCTCTGCAACCTTTGATACTGTTGATCAAATGCTCTTTGACACTCTCTTCTCTCCAGGTTTTAGGGATACCACTCTCTCCTGGTTCTGCTGCTATCTGACTGCTCCTTCTCAATATCCTTTGCTTAATCTCCATTTACATCATGCACTGTAAATGTAGGTGAACCTCAGGGTTCTATCATGGGTCCTATTCTCTTCTCCCTCTATACTACTTCACTTGGTGATCTCATCTGCTCCCATGGATTTAATTAACATCTCTATGCTGATGATTCCCAAATGTACCTATCCTGCCCCAACCTCTCTAACCTCTATTCTTGCCTTTCCCACTCTTTCAGACATCTCAAACTGGATGTCCAATAGACTTTTTAAATTTAACATGTCTAAAACAGAACTCAAAATAGAACTTTCCCCTAAACCGTTCCCTACCTCCTACTTTCCCTGTTATGGCAGAAGGCAACACAATCCTCCAGGTCTCTCAGGCTCACAACCTAGCAGTCATTCTCAACCCCTCACTATCTCACATACATACCCACATCCAACCTGTTGTCAAAGCCTGTTGATTTCACCTTTGCAACATCTCCCAAATTTGTCCCTTTCTCTCCTCTTCTTACATTGCCACTAATCTAATGCAGACCCTTATCATCTCATGCCTAGATTACTGCAATAGCCTGCCTCAAGCCCCTTCCCATTCCAATCCATTCTCCATTAAACCACCAAAGTGATTTTCCTAAAGTGCAGTTTCAACCATACCATATGCCTCCTCCTCCTCCAATAAATTCCAGGATCAAATACAAAATTCTATGACCTTCAAAGCCCTTCATAATCCAGCTCCTTCCTACCTTTTCAGTCATCTTACACCTTACTTACCACCCAGTAGTCTTCAATGAAGTGACACTGGATTGCTTGCTGTTCCATGAATAAGACATTCCAGCTTTGGGCATTTTTTCTGGCTGACTCATGCCCAGAATGCTTCCCCGTCTCATCACTACCTCCTGGTTTACCTAACTTGATTCAAGTGCCAAATAAAATCTCTTCTTCTCTAGGAAGCCTTTCCCAAACCCTCTTAATTCTAGCACCTTCTCTCTCACTTATTTCTTATTTATCCTGTACACAGCTTGTTTGTACATATTTGTTTGCTTGTCTCCCCCATTGAGTATGAGCTCCTTGAGGACAAGGACTCTCTTTTGTCTTTTTATGTATCCCCAATGCTTAGCACAGTGCCTAGCATATATTAGGTGCTTAATAAATGTTTACTGACTGACCCCTTTTCTCCTCACACAGCTACCACCTTAGTTTGGGGCCTCACCATTTCTCAACTAGATAACTGAAATAGTCTCTCTCTTTTTTTTTTTTTTGGTGAGGCAATTGGGGTTAAATGATTTGCCTAGGGTCACACAGCTAGTAAGTATCATACATCTGAGGCCAGATTTGAACTCAGGTCCTCCTGACTCCAGGGCCGGTGCTCTATCTACTGTGCCACCTAGTTACCACCTAGTTGCTCCTGAAATAGTCTCTTAACTGAGCTCCCTGCTTCAAGTCTCTTACTACTCCAGGCCATCCAATAATACTTCTGCCAAAGAAATTTTCCTTAAGCACAATATGACCATGCAACAACTCTACTCAAGCAAGGCTGATGGCTTCCCATTGCCTCTAGGATCAAATATAAACTCTTCAGTTTAGCTTTTAAAGTTCTTCACAAACCGGCCCCAATGTCCCTCTCTCCCCCCTCCTGCCATGATCCAGCCACACTGACCTTGTCTATGTTCTTCATATGGGCCATCACACCTCCTGCCTCTGTGTGCCTTTGCACTAGCTAGCTCCCATGCCTCAACTCTACCCCAGAAAGTCTCTCTCTTCATTTAAGATGTAGCTCAAGCACCATCTTTTTCACTGTCTTTCCTCATCTCCCTAACTGCTAGTGGCTTCTCTCCCAAACTACCCTGTATTGAACTATTTTGTATATATTTGTATTTATTCAACTTCACATATATGGATGTACATATATGTGTGTGGGGGTGGGGTGGATGGATGAGTGTGTATTAAAAGAAAATTTGTTGTTTCCCCTACTAGAATACAATATAGCATGTGTATTTTCTATTACAGAACATGAGTTACAAAATACAGCTCAAATCAGGTAACTTAAAGGTCTGATGTATGATGAACCAGCAACCAAACTATTCACTGATTTACTCAGTAGTCAAATGGATCTGTGATCATTCAGTTTTCAAGGAAATTCCTTTCTTCATTTTTTGTACTTATATCCTTTGTGCCTAGTATGGTGTCTAGCATATAAAAGGTCTTTAATAAATGCCTACTGACTGACTGACTGCCTGGAGATATACACAATTTAATGTTATCTAGACAGATCTCTCATTTGATTCTTACTTGCTCTATTTCTTCATACAACTGAGATGAACACAAAAGGAATTACTGGCTTCAAAGGAGATTGGACAGGGCTATAACAGGTGCTCATTAAATACCTGTTGATTATTTAATTGGGCTTATATAGATTTAAATGTGGCCAAAGACTATTGTACTAACAGTATCATTAAATACCTTTAAGGTGAGTGCTACTCTGAAGAAAATCATACCATTGGTTTCCCTCGATATTAGGTGGTGACACAAGATCATCATCTTCATCTTTCAAATACTAGAAATAAATTATTTAGAACTTAAACTCAAGAAACCAAGACATTTTGTCAAAGAATAGGAAGTGCTTCTATTTAATGTTATTCACATATAGAGGATCATCCACCTCACTTTTAGATCCCCTGGAAGTGATTCATTACCATTAGCCATACAAAATCAGTGACCAAACCATACCATGTATAAAATTACTAAGCAAATAGAGATTATTGCACTCTATAGTCTCTGTAAAAAAGAGACTTAAGAGTTTAAATTTGAAACGCTCTATTTCTAGGAAATAAATTTTAATCATGTTATTAGTTACATAATTGTTTCACAATTGTTTACAAATGATCATTATCTATTGTGGATCCAGCGTACTGTCACCCCTCAATAAGTGTCAATTAAGAATAATACCATAAATATTTATTTTATTAGAGAAGTAGCATGATAACCAAGTTCAATAAAAATTTTACCTGGCCAACTCTTTCTACATTGAAGTACTTTCCTTTTCGATTATAAAGCTCTGGAGCCTAGAGAAAACAAATAGATTACATGACTCAATACAAAGTCTATCTCATTTACTTAAAAGTAAATTATCAGTCATAGTTTTATAATATAGCATGTGCATTTTTCATTATCAAACATGAGATCAAATACAGTTCAAATCAGCTTATTTAAAGGTCAGATGTGTGAGAAACAAGCGTTACTGTTCACTGATTTACTTAATAGTCAAATGGACCTGTGATGATGTCAGTTTTCAGTTATTTTAAAATTGATTCATGCTTTTATTAAACTAGAATAATTGTTATTACATCTTTCTAATTAAATACGGTCACCACTTTGGTTCTCAGAAGAAAGACAATATTCCAAAAAATTCTGGTCCCTACCTCATTGAAATGCTCAGTAAGAAAATCAGCAACAAATGTGATATCTTTTTGAGTCATCTGCCAAAAAAAGAAAAAGAACAAAATGTTCTTAAGAATAAAACATCTATATCAAACAAAACTTCTCAAATAAAAGAAACGTTAAAACAACAAAAAAGCATCATTTTGTCACTTAATGAATGATACAGAAACTCATATAAATTGTTTTTTTCCAGATTAAGCTCCAACATTTAAAGGTCATACAGTTATAAGATCACGAATTCATAGGGCTGTAAGAGGCTTGGAGAGGCATGTACTAAGAAACGAAAAGCCTACTTCCTCCTTGACTCAACCAAGCAAACAGCTCTTAAATTTCTTATATACTTAAGAGGTCTTTGAGGGCGGCTCTCAGGATCAAGAGTGAGCCAGCTCCACCTCCAAAAGACAGCTCAGGACTGTTCACTACAGCGTTATTGGTTTCCCTGACACTCTCTCTCTCACCCTATTTTCTGATGAAGTATGGCACCTTCAAACAACTTGACTCCGGTTTCACTTTTCATCTTTTAGAGGCCATGATAACAGCAGTGATTGGGTGACCTTCTTTAACCCAAGTGGGGTTCTCTGAGGCTATTACATGGAACAGAACTGAAAACTGGTGACCCATCTGGTGTATAGTAAGTATTTAATAAATGCTCGTTGACTGATTGATTACTCAGACTGAAAACAATCCTACACAAGATATACAGAGCGTAGAGCATTAGAGAGATTGAGTTTGTTCAATTAAAGCTGATTTAGTCCACCTGGCTCCAGGCTAGACAATACCTAATCCAGTCACTACTTTTTAAGATACCAAGGGGAAGGAGATTTCACTGTCACATCTGCCAAGCCATTTAAATGTTTCACAGTCCTCAGAATTAGAAGCAAAAATTTTCATCACCAGGAACCAAACTTGTATTGCATTAATTAAAGTATTTAATCCCTCTATCATCAAGAGAAGTCACAAAGGAAAACAGACTTCAAAAAGATAAAAGGAAAACCGTACAGATACTTGTTCTGCATATAGTGACACCATTGATTCATTAGAGCAAAGGTCAAAATCAAAACCAAACTACAAGGATAAAGAGGAGAAGACAAAAACATTCTAACTTAACCTGATAATGAAAAATTGGAAATCAATAAAGAAAAATAAATTGAGAGGGATTTTTATTTTCTACTGAAGTCTAGGCAAATGCAATAACTTGGTCAAAGAGCCAAGAAAATGCCTAAGCCAGCAAGCATGTGATCTCCTTTCTAAGCCAAGTAGTATGGTAGACAAAAGAAATGCCAATATGGAATATAAACTTATTTCAAAAATGTTAAAGAGCATAAAATTATGAGCAACATTCCCTCCCAAATGAAAAAAAGAGCTATTGAAGGGAAAATTAGTCTACAGAAAGCTTAGCATAAGCTCCAACCAAAACAGACTATTAAGAACTTTTATAGGTAAAACTGGAAGAACAACAAAGAAACATAAAAAGGAAAAGATACGTCAGCACTACCATAACAAGCTATTTTCATCTTCAATGACAGTGGAACTGACATTTGGACCTTAACATCATAACCCCCACTGTATTACGTCAATAAACAGAAAAGGCACAAAAGAAAACAAAGCAAACTGATCCAACCATTCTGGAGAACAATTTGGAACTATACCCAAAGGGCTATTAAAATGTGCATACTCTTTGACCCAGCAATACCACTTCTATGGCTATATCCCAAAGAGATCGTACAAATGAAAAAAGGACCCACATGTACAAAAATATTGATAGCAACTCTTTTTGTGGTGACTAAGAATTGGAAATTGAAGGCATGTCCATCAACTGGTGAACGGTTGAACAAGCTGTGGTATATGAATGTAATGGAATACTATTATGCTATAAGAAATGTTAAGCAGGCGGACTTCAGAAAAACCTGGAAAGACTTGTATGGACTGATGCTGAGTGAAGTGAACAGAACCAGGAGAACATTGTACACATTAATAGCCGCATTGTGCAATGACTAACTTTGATAGACTCAGCTCTTCTCAGCAATGCAAGGATCTAACACACTTCCAAAAGTCTCGTGATGGAAAATGCTATCCACATCCAGAGAAAGAACTATGGAGTTTGAATGGAGATCAAAGCATACTATTTGCTCTTTTTTTTTAATTCCGTTTTCTTTTGTTTCCTCTTTCCTGTGGTTCCTCCTATTGGTTCTAATTCTTCTTTACAACATGACTAATGTGAAAATGTTTAATAAGAATGTATATGTAGAGCCTATCAGATTGGGGAAGGGAGGCAGAGAAAATTTAAAACTAAAACGCTTATGGAAGTGGATGTTGAAAACTAAAAATAAATAAATAAATTTAAAAAGAAAAAGAAAAAGAAAACAAAGTTGTCTAGTTGGGCTAAACAAAGCAGATACAATAGAGGTCTGTGCTGGATCTTATACAGTGTTAAGGGATTGATTCTCAAACTCATAGGTCCATAAATTTAGAACTAGAGGATCTTGGAAGTCAGAGGGCCTAGTTAGTTTAAATTCCAGCTCCGCCACAATTTTGTTGTTTCCTTTTCCTTAAATACAAAAGATGCTATAATTAATGGCTAGGTTCCAATGTACTTTTCAATCAATGAACTGAAGATTAACTAGTCCAAATCTCTTATTTTGCAGATGGGAAGGCTGAGACACAGAGAGATTGTGACTTGTCCAAGGTTACACAGGTATCAAGTGGCTAAGCTGGAATTCAAACTCTGATCCTCTGGCTCCCAATCTAGTGCTTTTTTGCACTGCACCAACTAAAAAGGGGAAGATGCCAAATGATTAGGAAAAATACATATGGTCTTATTACCAAAAAAAGGTGATCAAGAGAACATCAAGAATTATAGATTTCAGCTACAACTCCTATTACAACAACAACAACTACAATTACTATCATTATTTTTATTGAGCCAAATAACTACTTTTTCATTTCTAATCTTTATAAGAGTGATCCACATAAGGATGGAGAATACATTTGAGGAAAATGAGTGGAATAGTCAAATTTTCACAAAACTTTCTACAGCAAACTATACTTCATTGATCTAATTGATTAAAAATTATAGAGATTATAAGATCCTCCTGTTTGCTGATTAAAAAAACAAATTCAGTAGCACAAAATGAAGATTTAAATGTTCTCTTCCAACAAAGTGCATCCTATGCATGTTAAGATCACACAAAATTCACTGAGAAACAACAAAAGAGATAACTTTATCTAGAGTTCCTCTGATTAATACCAAATGAGGTACAGAACGAAGATATATGCTCATCAAAGGTATCTACCATCACCAAAGGGTATCCTAGAGTCCAAAGGGGAGGGGTATTCCCTAGAGATCAGGACATACTCCAGATGATATTGTGCTGATTGCATCAGTCCACAAAATAATTATATTAAGAAGCTTCCTCAAGAAGATCCACAACTACTCTAAAGAGATAAGCCTGACAATCCACAAAGAGAAAACCAAATGACTAAAAATGCCTACAGGTGAGATTATGGCAAGCAGCACAATTGGCAGCCCAATGAAATAACACAACAGTACACATACCTTAGACAAGCACTACAGACAGCCAATGAATGTTCAGGGCAGAGAACTGAAGAAAAAAAGTAAACTGGATTATATTTGGAAAACTGTGAAGTGCTTAGCACAGGATTTGGCACACAGCAGGTACTTAAGAGATGTTTACTGACTAATAAAAAGTCTTCAAAGAGTTCAGGCTGCTCCTAACACAAAATGCAATTATTAAAAACACCAATGCTCTGCCAGTGATGCTACAAGACTATGGCAAGAGAATCCTACAATTTCTGAAGAATCAAAATTGCTGGTGACTCAAAGGAAAAACAGAGATATATGCAGGCATACTGCCAATGCATATTGCCAATGATGACTTACATGCAACAAGTAGTGTTAAATATATCACTCAGAAAATGTGCAATCAGAAAAAAGAAAGGATCAGTCATACAGTAAAAGAAAAGGATAACAGATGGACGTCTCAAGTGCTAGGCTTCCAGTGTGCTGGGTAGATTCTCCACGGAGGATTCATGGAAGGAATGCATGAGGGGCAGTTAGGTGGCGCAGTGGCCCTGGAGTCAGGAGGACCTGAGTTCAAATCCGGCCTCAGACACATAACATTCACTAGCTGTGTGTGACCCTGGGCAAGTCACTTAACCCTGATTGCCTCACCCAAAAACAAACAAACAAACAAAAAACACAGGAGATTAAAAAGGAATGAATGGGTTGTGATGAGCACTATAGAAAGGAGTATAATACAATGACTGGATCATGGATCCTTTGAATTACTAAAGCATAAATGGTTAGAATTCAATGATTATAACACACTTTGCAAACAGGAGTTAGTATGACAAACCATATCAATCTTACATCTCTATGGGGTAGAATATAAATCTTGCAGGAATTTTCTTTTAGATAAAGTTTTAATAATGTATTTATACAATGTTTGCTATGAAATAAATATCTGACAATTACTGAATTTCTAGATTGATTATGTAATATTGCTTGGATTGCCAGGGGAGCTGGGCTTTCTAAATCCTTGCAATTACTTGCACTGGGAAAACATACTACCTTGTTCAGTTCTGGAAGCACATGGTCTTCTGACATTCTCAACATTGCTGGAAAGATAAAGTTAAAATTATCTTTCAATGAAAACTACAAAAACATTTACTAATAAGAAGAAATTTAGTGTATACCTTTTCTTTCATAGAACAAATTTCTTCTTTCAAAATTGTACCTTCTAGCACAGAGTATCTAATGTTCATATCTCAGGAAGAAATGCTTTCCTTCTAGGACTAGACACTATAAATTAGGATTAAGTTCTTCATCCCTGGTTCAAAGATGCCCTGACCTACTCTTTCTTTATTCTGTTCAATCCTTTTGTTCCATTCACACAAACATCACTGACTTTTCATCTATTTTTCCATTCTGAATTCTGTCTTCCTGTGTTCAAATGAAATAATACATGTGAAGTGCTGTACCTTAAAGCACTATGTTAGCTTCTGTGATGATGATGACAATATCTATTTTTATAACAGTTTCTTCCTCGTGGCTAGAGAATCTTAATCTAACTATCACACTTTCACCATAAAGCATTGTTCTCTGTAGGACATTTAATTTTTTCAAATTTTTCAATCCATCACCAAAAACATTTGCACTATTATATATAAACGCTTCACTTAAATGTAATAAATATTTTAAGAGTTGTTTATGTCACTGACTCTTTACACCCACAATGCCCAACACAATGATTATTACAAATCATTATTTAAGGCTTCTAAATGTTGGATGGGACTTAAGAAATAATCTGCTTCAATTTCTTCATTTCACAGATTAGAAAACTAAGTGACTAGCCTAATGTCAAACTACAAATTGGTGGCAGAGACTGAATAGGACCTAAGCCTCTTAACCTCTTGTTCATTCTCTTTCCCCATATGAAACGACGATGAAGATTCATCAGAAACTGGTTTCTGTTATTCTTTTGGTTACAACTAAGACTTGCAATGAAGAAAAAATACAAAAAACTGTTACTTCAATGATCTTTGATTTAATAAAAGTGTAATTCCTCAACCAACAAAGGTTGTGAACTCCTATACTTTAGTAAATAGTATTTGAGAGTTGCAGCAACCAAGCAATATTCATCATTTAGTGGTCAAACTTTAAGTTCTAAGCCCCTTCATGATTAACTAGGGTAATCCTTAGTCAAAAGACCAAGTCTATTGCTGGGCTTACCATTAAAGCCTTTCCAGCTTGCACAGCTGGCACAACACTCCAGAACCCAGGCTCACCTTCATGGTACAACACGGCAACACAGCAGGAATTCAGGGGAAGAAACAGCCAGTTACTATTGTAAAATGCAGTCACTGTAGTGTGGTATAGTGGCTAGATGCCAGTATTGGAGTCAGGAAAAGATGAATTTAAATGATCCCTCTGACATACACTGGCTATGTAACATGGGTGAGTCACTTAACTCTCAGTATTCCCCAGGCAACACTCTAAGACAAGTTACAAATAGAATGCCAACCTACACTGCCAAAAGTAGTCTCTACTCTGAGAGTACCCCCATAAAAATAAAATCAGAGGTATGCCCCCCCTACAAATGTACAAAATACATCTCTGTAAAGTAGGATAGTGATGATTTTGGAATCAGGAAAATCAGAGTTAGAAGCCTGCCTCGGATGCTTGCCAGCTGAACAAGGCTCTTAACCTTTTCATGCCTGAGTTTCCTCATTTATAAAAGAGGGATAATAACAGAGTACCTACCTCAAAGCATTGTTCTAAGGCTTAAATGAGATCATGTATGTGAAGAATTCTGCAAGCTTTCAAGTGCTATATAAACATCCAGTATTATTATATAGGAATTCCAGTAAAGACCCTCTGGCTTCCCACTATGGTTAGTGACCTGGGCAAGTTACTTCACTGATCTAAGCCTCAGTTTCCTCATCTGTAAAATGAGGATAATGACAGCACCTACCTCATAAGGCTGTTGTGAAGCTAAAACGATACAAAGCTCTCTACAAACTTTAAAGTACTATATGTAATGTAGACACAGCACTGAGAATATAGTTCCCTTCTAGGACTAGATGGAATCAACCAGTAAGCTTCACAGTAGGACATAAATGGTGCTAAAGGGCTAATATCTGTTTTGGGAACAAAGCAAAGCTGTCAGGTAAAAAGTCAAAATACTATCGTTTTGGGTTTGGGGCTCCACTAGAAATGAAAGTTTTGAACATTGCTGCACATAAAGTTATTAATCTTTCTTTTCGTATTTTAGGATTTTAACAGCAAACAGCTAATATACCCAGAATCTCAGAGTTGGAAGGGATTCAAGGGCTCTATTCATCCAACCTACACCCAAATAAGAAACCCCTCTACAGATCCCTTGACAAGTAGTGATCTAGCCTCTGCTCTGCCTCTCTCCAGTAAGTGGGAATCTATCATATCCTAAAGGAGCCCGTTCTACTTTGAGGAAGTCACAAAGTTTTTTCTTGCTATTGCAAGCCTAAATTCACTTTTTTGCAACTTCTACCCATCGCCAGTCTAATCCTTCTTGAACATGACATTAAAGATGTGAAGAAAATTCTTGTATCTCCCAAGTCATCTCTTCTCTAGGCTAAGCATTTCCTCATTCCTTCAACCAACTTTCATACAATACAAACTTGAGGCTCTTCACCTTTATGCTTGCCAGTGTATCCTGTTCAGATGATCACAGTCTTTCCTAAAAGGTACCACCCAAAAGGAACAGAATACTCTAAATGTGGTTGATCTGTCCCCTAATGTAGTCTACAATTACATTAACTTTTGGGACTTACAAATCACACCACTGACTCATAGCAAACTTACAATAAAACCCCCAAGGCACTTTCAAATGAACTGCTTATCTAGCCATGCCTTCTCTATATAGTACTTATGAAGCTAATTTTATTGAACTGAAGTACATAAGATTTTACATCTATGCTCATTAAATTTTACCTTAATAAATCTGGCCCAATATTCTAGTCTGTCAGTATGTTTTTGGATCCTGAAACTATTATCCAATAAGTTACTTATCCCTCCTAGTAAGCTGATAAAGACTTCACTTACACTTTTCCCTAAGTAGCTCACAAACATGTTCACTAAAAAAGGGGGCCATGCACAACTTACGAAGCACAAATGCAACCAGAGTCTAGCTGACACTGGGCACTTTGGGTCTTGCCATTCAACTAGCTCTGAATCCACCAAAATACATCACTGTATTTTTCTCACATCTCTCTTGTCCAGGTAACTACCTACAGCATTCCCCTGACCTGCCAGTCTAGTAGCTCTGTCAAAAAACAAAGAAAATGAACTTAGCCTGTCATATCTACTCTTGAGGCTTTCTGAGATTACCTTTTACTAGACTCCAAGTCAAGCTCACTAGTCTATAGTTTGCAGGCTTCATTCTCTTCCTTCTTTAGAAAATTCAAACAAATTCATCCTTCTTCAATCCAGTAGCACCTCTCCGTTCTCAATTATCTTTCAAATACCAATGACAGTAACTCAGCAATCAAATCTCCCAGTTTTCGGTATTCCAGGAAAGAGTTCATCTGGATCTGATGACTAGCTCACGCAGGGCAGCTGGTTGTTTTCCTTACTTATCTCTATTAGCCATTTTTGTCCTGTTCATTCCTATCTAAATATCATTCTCCCTGGCAGAGAAAATGGAAACAAAAATAAGACAACCATACATAAAAAAGAAGAGGTTGTTTTTTTTTTTTTAAATACAAGACACTAATACATGACGTAAGCATATGTATTATTTGCACGTGATTACATAAACATATGGAACTGTTATGAAGAAACTTGTGTGTTCTCTTTGGTTTGAACTTGTGATAAGGTAAAGTGTCAAAATGAGTGATGTGTAATAAATGTGAGAGTACAGAGAAAAGAGATTTTTTAAAATATAAGTTAAAGTTATATAGAAGAGTGTTTATTATCATTTATTACTTACTCTCACTTGAAAAAATACAATTATTTTAGTAGAGTGACTCTAGAATTAAGTTATTACCCCTACACATCAAGAACTGAAAGAATTAAAACAAGCAGAAAGAAATAGTCAAATAATCTTACCTACATACAGCCACCGGAAAAATGCTTTGAAGTTTTTCATACTGCTATCTATAACTCTAAACAAACAGAATAGAAAGGATTCGTAATAAATTTATTTTGGGTAGTTGGTTCTACTTATTTTTTTACTTACAGTGAAGTAGAATTTATGTTTAAAATTTAATGTGCATAAACTCTCATTGCTATATTTCATCTTAACTACATGACAATTAGGGCTTTAAGGACAAAATTCATAAACTTAACAAATCCAGAAATTATATTCCAAAAGAGCAAATTCACTTCCATTTTGACATCAAGGCAAATAACTCAGATTCTACTTCATTCTGAGAAAACTTGCCACAAAATAGAACATTCTTTCCAAGCATCCAGTAAAGTGTGAAATCCTTTTCTAACTTTGCAAATAAAGGAAATCAGAAAAATCGTTTTCAGCATTATCCTCACAATACAAAAATACACTCATTTGTCAGTATAAAGAAAAAACATCAACACCAAGAGAAAATCATTACTGTGGAATTTCTACTGTGGCAATTCCTGTGTTCTCAAAAGACATTATTTTTAGTACATAATTTCTGATCTTCACAGGTAGTAACAGGATTACAAAAAGTGAATTTCCCTCTGTTATATACAGATTTAAACCAAAAATAAGTTCTATAAAGCAATTTTCATTTTGCTTAAATCCCTTTCTGGACATAGAAGTAGGAGTCATTTAAGCTTATAAATGTTAAGATCATTATTCAAAGTAAAAAACATGACTCTTATAATATACTTATCCTCTCCAAATCTCAAAATCCTTTGCAAACATTATATCGAATAACACTCTTAGGGAGATTAGGTCAGTATCACTGACCTTATTATTGTATATAGTAAGAAATCTGAAGTAAGAAATTATTAGGTGATTTATTTTAGGTTCCTGGCCAACATCTATCAGCATCAACATGATCACAACACTACTATTTCAAAGAAAAACAAATTCTTATCACTTTTATAGAGTTCAGGAATGTCAGACTAAAACACCATAGCCCCAAGAATTGGAAGACATGTTGGAAGTAATCTAAGCCTAATCTTCCACCCCACTCAAGAATCCTATTTATTTAATTCAACAAACTCTTATGAAGCATTTACCAGGTGCAAGGTATTGTGCTACAGCACTGACATGTGGTTATCTGGCCTCTGCCTAACATCTCCAGGAATGGAGAATCACCACTTCAAGAGATTGCACATTCCATGACAAGCCTTGAGCTGAATCTCTCCCTGTAATTTCTACCCATTGATCTCACCTCTACTCTCTGGAATTACACAGAAAAAATTGAATCCCAACTTTTCAGATGACAGCTCTTCAACTAAAGATAGCTATAGTGTTCTTCCAAGGTTTCACTAAAAAACTTTCACAAAAATACCCCCCCTTTGTTTCAACTATTCATGACAAATTACTCCTTTCACCATTCTGACTACCGATCTAGACATGCTCCAATATTCACTGGCTTTAAATGCAGCACCCAGAACTGAACACAATATTCAAGATGTAATTGGATCAGCATACAATAGAGTAGAACGATCACTTTCTGTTCTAGTCATTATAATTCTACTATGTGCATTACATTGGCACATACAAAATAAGCTATATGAACATGATTTCACCAGTGTGGGGAACTCCCTTACTCACCTGTATGTTACTTAGTAAGTTTTAAATCAGTTTTAGAGCTGTAAGAGATATGAAAGGTCACCCCACCCAACCTCACTCATTTTACATATGAGAACAATGAGGCTCGGAGAGGTTAAATGATTTGTTCAAGACCACACAGGTAGTAAAACATAAGTCCCAGGAACTTGCCTAAGGGAAAAAACTTGAATGACTTGCTCACTGTGACACATTTAGAAAGTGGCAAAAGGATTTTAATTGAGGTCTTGCAGAATCCAAGCCTAACATTTTTGCTCTACACCATACCACTACTATACTCACATGTAGTAGATAATTAACAAATGAATTAATGAAACCCAAATTTACATTAGTTATTTTTTCAGCAACGTCACACTGTTGACTTATATTGAGTTTGCATTCAACAGATATGCCAAGATTTTTTCCCCACTTTTAATATAGTTAATCAATATTTGAAGTTTCATTGCATCTCTTCCTCTTCAACTAGATACTGTATCTAAACAGTATAGGCATAAGATATAGTATTTAGCAGCTTTGGCTAAATGACTTTGAGCTATTTAACTTTTATTGCCTCATCTGTAAAATGGAATAAAAGTACTATGCTGTAATTACCTCAGAGAAAAGAGGATTTAAAATGTAAAAGTTGGCAAAATTATCTTCATTCAATTAATATTTACCGACTGACTAAGAAAGGCATTTGCGCTTAGGCTGTTAAAATTTCTCCACTTTTCGAAAAGATTCATTTTTTTCCTTTGGCTTTCTTATTTTTTTCTCTTCCTCAAAAAATAAATTAGATTAAGATCTTATTATTTAAACTGTATTATTAGGAGGAAAAACAAAAACCATCGTACATTTCTGATACTTACTGAAGAAGTTCATTTGCCTTCAATATGAAAGAACCCACAGAAGTAATAGCATCTATGGAAAAAAAGACAAGATTTTACTTATAAGCAAAAACAATTTTAATGTAACCTACTGAGAAATAAACTGACTACCTTCAATTCCAGCGGCATCCAGACCAAGAGGTTCATATTTTTGTTTCCAAGAAGCCATTCCTTTCAATTCACTCAAATGGTACAATAAAGCCTCAGAGCCACTACCAAAGTAAAAGAAAACATAATTTCTCAATTATTCCCATCATTACCTACCATCATCATGGCTACTAAACACGCAGCCTAAAAATTTATGATTTTTCAGACTAGAAACTGACAATAAGTTTAATTTGGGTGGTATTGTCTAAGATACCCCCAAGAACTTGAATGTATCAGTCTGTCCTCATGCCTCCTGAGGGATGAAATTAAAATGCAATTCAAATTACATTAAATAGTTCATCCTGATATTATAAAACAATCTTATTATGCTTAAGTCTAAAATTTAAAGGCCAAAACCACTAAGATCACATGTAGGTTTTCAGTATACTTCAAATCTTAAACTCAACATTACTTTCTGATTTATTTCACTTCCTCAAGGCAGAGTAACAAGCCCATTTCTAAATCTATTAAAAACAGGTGGGGAAAAAAAGAGTCAATCTACATGTGGTGGAGAAAACAGTCTAGAGGTGACAGATGGCTCAGCAATTGGCTCTTTAAATTGTACTCTTATATCCAATTCAATAACTGATTAACCAAGATGACCAGCTCAAAAAGATGTGAAAGTTTGGAGCCACAGGTAAGGCATAGTAGTCACTAGGTGAAAAACCACTACAAGCTTCTAGTTAAGTCAATTTCAACAGCTACAGAGCTACAGTATTCCAAATAATCATACCTCTGCAAGTGACTTATGACCAATTTTTGTATACTGGAGTATGAAGACTCTATAGACTGGCCAAGCTTTTTTAAGCCCTAATTAAGAAAAGAGAAATAATTTAGCATGCATCTGACAGACAATATACCCCTTTAAAGGAAGCAATAAAATTTGTGTTTTACATTCACAAGAGGCAGTATGGCATAATGGATAAAGTGCTGGCCTTAAAGCCCAGAAGATCTGGGTTCAAGTCCCACCTCTGACATATAAACTGCCTCTGTGACCTCTGGCAAACCACAAAACCTCTCACAGTTCCAGATAACACTGAGACTATGCATGTAAGGTGTTAAACGACAGCGGTACCTCCTCATCTGGAAGTTCCCTATACCAATGAAAGCACAGGTCCAATCCCTATTCTTCGAAATTCACTGCCATCTCAAAATACAAACACATATACTGTATTATTAACTATACCTTTACTGTTAACTGGTTCATTAAGAGGGATTGAAGTTCAAGGCTAAAATTAGAAACAAAAAACAGAATTTTAATAATTTTTCTCTATTTAAAAACTTTTTCTCCTTTACATTTTTGAAACTCAAGGTACACAAACTTCATGAAAGAATAGCATATATTTAAAGTACAAACTAAATATTATCCAATTACCTTGCTTTCCCCCATAATAGCAGCTGCATGAATTCATCCTGCACTGAAGTTGTTGTGTTCTTTTCCTAGTGGTCAAATATTATTGTGATAATTATTTTTAATTTACTAAGAAATTAAATATTTAGGATTGTAAACATTTATTCAGAGAATACAATTTCTACATCATCATTAAGCCTTCCCTAAAAACTGATATTTAAGTTGGTCACTACATATCAGTAACTAAGAGAAAATTAATTAGTTATTAAAACATTTACTCCTCCAAGTTGTTTTCCTATTTTATATTACTACCTGGTCTGTCATCCTAATCCCTATCCAATAATCCTCTCTACCAACTTTCCTCAGATGATCACATCATCCTCACAACAAATAAGCCAATCATTTCAAAATGGAAAGCATGAATGACATCTTAAAGGGTAATCTATTCTCTTATTTTTAAGTTACTTGAGAAGCTAGATCAAACTGAAAAATTACTATTCTCAAGCTAATATTGCTCTATTTATGGGTTTTCTTAAATGCCTGAGACACAAGCTAAAAATAAGTAAGGAATTTAATGCATCCTTTAACTTTTCAATTGGGGGCTCCAGTAATAATACCTGTACAAATTTGGTAAGACGAGAATCCATCTGCATCAATATTTCTTCCCAGGCTTCACACATGCATGTCAATGATAACCTTATATACTATTAATGAAAAGGGCAAAAACAATTAAAGCAATCAAAAATATTTTAACCTAAGATGTTAATTACAAATATGTATTTTTATTGTTATGACTCATAATAATTTGAAATTTATCTTCTAGTGAATTTAGCTTTGAGCCTCATAGAAAAAAGATAAAAACATAAATAATAGTAGCCAGTGTCAAGATATATTTCAAAGACTGTTCTATTAAAGGTATGGATAAACCTTCTACTGAAATACCATATTTAAAATTTTCTACAAGCATATTTCAGATTATACTAATTGCCAAAATGAATGTTTGGTCAAATCATGTAGGTTGGTATAAATTATCAGTTTTAAAACAGAACTTTAGATTAGATACTGACCTCTAAAAGTGCAGTCATTTACAAGTAGATTAGATTTAGATGTTGTATTGTTTACAACATCCTATGTTTTCCAAATTAAACTTTAAAAATTCTTAAAGTAATATTTGAACTGTCATCAAAAATGTTCAATTATTTTTTTAAAAAGCATCAATAAATTTTCTATTCCTTAGACTGATAAAAAGTGACCCTAACGTAAGTTACCATAGTGTTGAAGAACTTTAAGAAGTGAAAGTTTATGCACTTGGTACATAAAGAAATGAAGAAATCAACAACTTAAGAGTTGCATAAAACAAGCTTGAAATAAATACCTGCAAAAGAGTTGAAATATGAGTAAACTTTCTGGCCATCCGAGTAACTTCAGGTAAGTAAGTAGACAATAGGCTAGTATCAAGCTGTAAAGCACAACAGAAGAAATTGCAGTGAAAATCAGATACTTACTTTTTAACTTTATTTAAAGCTAAATCACTATCAAAAGATGCGTCCAGGAAGATACAGAATACTGTAAGAAATACAGACCATTTAATGCACCATTTAGTGTCCAAAATTCCCTACTTCAAATCTCACAGAATTTTTTAAAGTATCAACAGGTGAGTGGTATTTGCTAACTTTAAGTAATACACACTCAACACTCATCATATAAAATCCCTTTCTAGTTGTAAAATTCAATGATTTTGTCAATCTAGAAAAGAATGTTTTGGAAACAATTTAAACAGCATGGTGGCTTTAAAAACACAGTATTTCAGTACTGAGCAAAGCAATGCAAATCTTAAGAGTTTTCTAATCTAACTTCTGGGCAAGTAGTCAACCCCTCTGGATCACAATTCTTATTTACAAAATTAAAATAATTGTTAACAACCTATTTCAGAAGATTATTGGAAATAGTTATCTAAAAGAGATTACAAATTCACACAGATGGTCATTTAAAAAACACATAGAGAAGTCATCAAAATACACATCTCTTACCACACATAGCACTTTTTTAATATACCATAATACATTTCTAATTGTAAGCTCCACGAAAGCAAGTATTGTGTTTCATCTAATGTTTCTGTCTTCTCCAGCTTACAGCACACTGTTCTACACAACAGGTATTTATTATTATGTCTGCTGAACTGAAGTGGAGAAGGAAGGTGTTAGGCAGATGTGCCACTCACTGGATCTTTTCAAGGGTTTTGTTTTTGTGGGTAGTTTGAGAGTTTATGTGGGCATCTGATTAGGTGGTTCCACATTTGAGGAAAGGAAATTTCTAGTTAATGGTAGGATTTCTGAAATATAAATAATTCTGCTTTGTCATACCTCAGTTCTCCTATCCTATCAAATGAGATATTTGTAAAGCACTTAGCACAGTGCCTGGCACATACTAGGCATTTAACTAATGCAGGCATTAGTTATCTTACCCACCCCTACAAAGCAAATAAATAGTAATAAAGCTTTTGTTGTTTTCTGTTTGTCTCAGTTTTTAAATTACTGAGTATTTCTATGACACAGTTACCACAGTAAAAACTCAAAATATAACATTATTTGGTATATGTAGAATTCATCATAACCAGATTAACAATGCTATTATTTCTATGGGCCATACACTAGGACAAAGAACCAATTCTAAAATATGGTTCCTCTGTTGAAAGGACAATTCCCATAACGGTATTTTACCTACAAAAGATGTGGGAATTCTAAAGAAGTGCTAATGTTTCTTGAATGAAAGAAATGGAAGCATGGTATAGTGGACATGTGCCAATTTCATCATCAGGAAAGAAATTCTGGATTCAGATTCTGTCTCTGACAGACTATGGGTGTGGAGAAATTGTTTTTACTGTGTGACTATGGACAAGCCATTTTTCTCTGAACCTCAAGTTCCTCATCTGTAAAATGGAGATGATGATACCACCTTTGATACCTATCTCAGAGTCATGTAAATCTCAAATACAATAATATATGCAAAGAACTTTGCAACTCAAAGAGCTCTATAACTCTCAGCTATTAATATTATTATGCTATAGATCATCAAAATGGTCCTTAGCCATTGGAATCAGCAGGTATGAATACTCTGTCTACAAGAAATAGGGTGCATTTCACACTGCTCTGAAGTTCAGTTTTACTCACCTGAAAATATGAAATTTCTGATATAATACTGGTAGAATCTCCTATCTCTGTTATAACTGATAATGATTTCAAGTCACTTGATAAGCATAAGCCAAGACATGAACCAGAAACCTGAAAAGGTAAAAGATTCCAGTCATAAATTTTATTTGTTCATTTTACTCAAATGACATTTTAATATTAATGCATTACTTTATCTTTGTGTATAATACATGAGGCAAAAACCTATGAAAAACCTAGAAAACAGAACAGCTCAGGTGACCTAAATTTCCATTGTTCAGGCTCTTGTCTTCCCTCTGTTACGGATATTAGGGGTGTTAAACCTACCTGGCGTTTACAGACTCAATTCAAGGAAATGATCTCACTCTGTTTCTTCTCTCTCCCCTCCCCTTTGGTTACCACAACTGAATAGTTTTAGTATCAGAAATCAGCATCTCAACCTTCACCAATTCTTCCCCCTCTCCCCAGGAGGTACAGGAAGAGCCCTGAACTTCGTAGGGAGCAAGTTCAGTTCTAAGCATTTAGCTCCGGTGGTAGGGAGCAAAAGAAAACTAGTTTTGATTAATTTAGCTTAGTTATATTTTAACCACAAATTCTAGCTTTTATTCTCTATAGACTGGCAAAAAAAAAAAAGTGAGTTCATAAAGCAACAAGCATATCAATTTTTTTTTTTTAGGTTTCCTTTAATTCCATTAGCAACTAATAGCTCTTGCTCTTTATGGGTACCATCTCTTACTTTTACACTTTGTATGAATTATAAGTGAAATCCCTAACTTCCAAATTTAATTAATTTATAAGATTATAAGAAAATATTTATCATTCCTTTCAGAAAAAAATATACATTAAGGAATAGTAATTTCAATCACTGGAAATGAGAAAAGTTAGTGTTTGAATCTTCTCTCATAAACCAATTAGCTGCTACATTTAAAAAGAAATTGTAGGGAAAATATAAAAGGAAAACTTACCCCTGTAACAGTAGCAATTTTGTACATTCCATAAGCATAGATCTCAATGAACCCAGAGTTTCCTCCAAGGACAAGAGCATTAAGCCTAATTAAAAGTAAGGCAACAAGCTGAGGACCAATCAACAATAGAAATAATCAAGTTCTAAAACTCAGCCCTAAATGACTACTCCTTTATAATCTACATATTAAGGCTCTCCTGCAGTGGAAACTGATAAACCAAAACGAGTCTACTGATTTATTGGTCAAATTCAGCTAAACATGCCTAGTCGTTTCAAAAGTAGTAGAAAAATTCTACTGTGCAAATTAGCAAGGCCTGCTACCTGGAAGAAATCAGGTTGTAGGCAAATAAAAACAGTAAAAATTATCATTAAAACCCCAATACAGGATTTTTTCCTATTTGTGGCTAGTATCATCACAATTCTACTAAAATGACACTGACACTCACATTTTAAGATTTACAAAGCACTTTGCATACATTAGCTCTTTGGATTCTCGGAACAAGCCTGCAAGGTAGTTACCACTACTATTGTTATCTCCGCTTTTTACAGATAAGTAAACAGCGGTTTAGAAAGGCTGGCTGATTTGTCCATACCATGTCCCTAGCTCTTTCCTCTATATTCCATATGCTGCCTCCATCTCGACAGTAAGTATATTTGCGGGTCCTGAAGATTTTAAAAATGCGATGCAACTACCAGCTCTAAAGTTCAAAGATAAAATATCATTTTTGACTTCTTTACTCCATTAAAATTTTTTCTCTTGAAGAAAATAGGAAAGGGATGTTACCAACTTCTAAAACTATTTTTAAAATTGACAAAATGAAAGGCCATAGAATAAAATCAAGTTAAATGACAGATAGTAAAAGAATGCTTAATGTGAGCAAAACAATTGCACAAACACATAAGATTTGTCCATTTAAAACTTTCTCTTCAAATTAAGAATAATTTAAGAAACCCATACTTGCCACCACAGGTATTTCCAAGAAAATTTACCTGACATCACCCAAGAGCTTCATAATTTCATCTGATTTTTCTTCACTGAAATATGAAAATAATTGTTACAACTCAATTTTCACACTAAACAATAATTCTCTTACTTGAAAAAATACCAAAGAACTTTTCTTACCTAAAAATTTTTGCAGTAGTGCTATAGCTAAATAAGAATATAAATGGAGAAAATTAATACCTTAAACAAAAAACTAAAACAAGATATTTTCATAACATAGTTAATAACAAATTTCAAATAAGAAAATTACAACTACTTACAAAGCTATCCAGCTTTGATACTTACTTTTTTGGCAAGGCAGGTAGTTTAGGCAGGAGGAGATTTGACTCATCCTCAGCATTATAAAAGGATGTTAAAACACTAGAGGAAAAAAAAAAAGAATGTTCTAAAACACTAAAGATGTGACTTTTTTTAATAATTTAAAAATATTTTAATCTTTCAAAGAAAGAAATGCACAAAGTTAACAGCAGTCAGGTGTTGCACTTAAAATAAAAATCTTGCCATCATCTTTGGTATAAATTAAGAATAAAATATTCATATCTTTTATCCATTGAGAAGCATGTAATTTTCTCAGCACTCAGCTCAAAATAAATGCTGTGCAGCAAAAATGAAATATTACCCAAGCTCTAAACATCTATAGCTACTATTTATGTTATGAAAAAAAATCACCGTAAGATTGATTTGGGCAAAATCAACCTAACACAAAGATTTAGGTAAAATAAGTATGGTTAAGCAACAAGTTTTATAACACCTATACAGCAATTTCCATGAGAAGGGATAATTTAATATAACAAAAAATATATTAAGAATTGTCCTTATTCACAAAAAGCTTTAGTCTTGCAAGGGAAAAATGTATCCATTTTATAAATTAAAAAATAGAAGTAAATGATTTATCTAGGATCATAAAATTGCTATTAAGGATGTGGAATTATGGTTTAGGAATTCTAAACGTTCATCCAAGAGTTCATATCATAGCTCTAAGTAGCAAGATTTGTTTTAAAGTACACTGCTATAATTATGCTGCCTTAGTGGTCAGTTCTGTGGTTTACACACAAACTTCCAATTTAATGACTTGACAAGTAATTCCACATTTAACACAAAAGTAGTCCTGAAAGCCTTTGGATCCTCAGCATAATATTTGTAAACTGGTATATGAATCATCACTAATGAAGTAATGCTTTTTAAAAAAATTCCTAAAAATCAATGAATCACAATAAACTCCTAATTATTTAGAAATAAGAATTTATAAGAATTACTTGACAAGAATAGCTTGTATTGCATTTTTAAAAGTAATTCTGGGGCAGCTAGGTGGCACAGTGGATAGAGCACAGGCCCTGGATTCAGGAGAACCTGAGTTCAAATTCGGCCTCAGACAAATAACACTTACTAGCTGCGTGACCCTGAGCAAGTCACTTAACCCCATTGCCTAGCCAAAAAAAAAACAAAAAACAAAAAAAAACAACAAAAAAGTAATTTTAATTTCTTTCATGATGTAGAGATGATCAGATTTTATACATATGTATATATGTAATATATACACACACACATGCATATACACAGTTCTTGAGACATTGTTGCTTAACAAAAGAAAAGAATTTAGTGGAGTATTATAAAAAAAAGGCAACCTATTTTGGTAAAGTTAGGGAGAAAGATGGCCCCACAGGTACTCCTAAATTACATTTAAAGTTACCGTTGACATGTATTTTGAATTTATATTAATGCAAATTTTAAAATTTCTTGACCTACCTGCTTTCTGCAGTTACTTCCATCCAATGCATGTAAGTAATAGGCGTATCCACAGAAAAAGAGTGCAAGCTTTCAGGCTTTTCAACATCACATAAAATAACTTTCTTGGTGTCAGCAAGACCAAAGGCCAAAACTACAAGGAAAAGGCAATCAAATATTAGGTGATTCACACAGAAAAATGTAACCATATCAAAAAACAAACTAGTAAAGTGAATTCTGGCTCAAAAATCCTGAATAGTTAATGTTTTTAATTTGCTACTGTTTAATTTGATCTATTGAAAATAAATCTTCACAACTATTGTTAGAATTAAGAATTCTACCTTATGATAATATTAATGCAATGTTAAACTCTTGAGAAATTTGTTTTTTTTTTCCACTTTTTGGTGAGGCAGTCATGGTTAAGTGACTTGCCCAGGGTCACACAACTAGTAAGTGTCATGTGTCTGAGACTGGATTTGAACCCAGGTCTTCCTGACTCCAAGGCCACCGCACCACCCAGCTGTCCCAAGAAATTTTTAAAGACCAAAAAAAAAAAGTCCATAAAGGATTTTTATAACTTAAGCTTAAAAGTGAACCTATTACATTTTCATATGTAGCATTAACATAACGTATATATTTGTATATACTTATATATCTGAAACTTTCACTTGAGATCCAAGTATTAAACATCTGACATAGTAGAAGTTCCTAGATTAAAAACCATGTGTGTCATCTGGCACAATGCATTTAACAGATAAACAACAATAATATATTGCTATATGACTTCTCTTTATCACCAAGATACAGTGGAATCTATAAACAAGCCTAGAAGAAATAATTTGATCTGTCTAGTTTTTAACACTTTTTCTACCCTTTATATTTCTTTACCAAATGCAAACATGGGAATCAGAAGTATATTCCTCTTTGACGACAATTAAATTTTACAGTGCGGAGTCTCTGAATGGGTCACTAAAAAATATTTTTAATACATCAAATTATTTCTCTGAATTTCAAATATGGACTCAGATAATATCATCCAGCATTAACTAATGTACAAATCTGTACAAGGCCCTTGTAAATTCCTGCCTCTCCTTCCTAAAAAAATACTACTTGAAATAACTCTCAAATAGTCTTTATTTGACAGAGACACTTATATTTAAATTTTTTAGTGATAACCTATTGCTCACTATTTAACCAACACTTACTGTGTGATCTTTCATAAGCCTTTGTTTCCCTAGCACTTGGTACAATGCCAGGTACACAGCAGATATTTGATACTCATTTACTGATTAATAAAACTTTTTGATTTAACAGTACATGTCAATTTCACTATGGTTCTTTCTCAAGACAAGCACACTGTACAAATAAAATGCAGCTGAACAAAATCCCTCAAATTATATGTGCAAGGGGACAAGGAAGAACCCTAACCACTAACATATTAAATTCTATTAATGATGGTTAATTTTTATCAACTATAAAAATTAGGGATATTCTTTGGTGTTTCAATGTATCTGTTCTCATCAGTGTGGCTACTCTATCACTTATCCATGCCTTTTCATCCTGTGTGATTCTCATTAATACCTTACATGAATCTTCCAGAGAATCTCTCCAACATACTTCTAGATCTCTTAATGTTTTGTGAATTTCATGAAAACCTCCAGACCATGTTACTATTAGTTCTCAGTATACGACAAACGAACCTTCTCTGGTCACAAATGTCCTTAATGACATTCTTTATAGAACTTCTCCCATGTAAATCACTGCTGGTAATAAACAGACTGCAGTAAACTTGTGCCCATGATATGTCTTTCCATTTTACTCTTTTGGTTACCCTCAGCTTTAATTCTTATAAGACTACTGTATTACAGGATTTGTAGTCATATAACAGCACTAGAAAAAACTGGAAGATTTGTTTTGGTAATATCCATGTGATTATTAGAAGTCCTATGCAATTTCCCAAATGCTATTCAGTTCACTCTCATCTTATTTAATCATGGGACCAATTCACAGTCTATCTGAATTGCTTTTTCAGGATATATGTACCAATGGACTAAATCAAGGGGCTGCTGCATGTCATAATTTTCCATATTATTCTTCAATTGCTTTTTTTCCCAATATGGTTTTTTAGGCTAATTTCATTTGAGTAGTTGTGGATCTCACTGGTGAAGTCCTGCAGTACTATTCAGTGCTCAAAACAATCAGCAGACTGACAGACAAGCAACTGCAGAACCTCAATACCTATATGGAATGAAAAAGGAAATATCCCATCCACTTGGATTTTTAATCTCTCTCTCTCTCTGTCTGTCTCTCTCTCTCTCTCTCACACACACATACACACACACTTTATGCCTTCCTAAATATATTAAAAAAAAAAACCTGTTGAACAAATTATCATTGTGGTTTTATCTATCAAAGAAGCTTTTAGTAGCTTTACCATCTTAACACATACATAAGAGGGAGGTGAAGGGAAGAGGCTTTGAGGCTGTATTTTGCCCATACACATTCATTCATTCATTCATTCATTCATAATACTCAATCAACAAATATTTATTAGGTGTCTACTATGTGTCAGGCACCACTCATCAGGCAATGGCGACACAAGTACAAAAAAAACCTAATCTCTACTCATAAGGAGCTTACATCCTCACAGCAAAGAAAATAAGCAGCTATATAAATATAAAACACATAAAGTGCATATATACAAAGTAATTAAATACAAGGTTGTTTGGGAGAGAGGACACGAGTAGTTGAAGGACAGGGAAAGGCTACATGCAGAAGAGATCTTGGTTGCATCTTAAAAGAAAAAAGGGACTCTTTGAAGAAGAGGTAAGGGGGGAAGTGCATAACAGGCTTCTAGGATGGCCACTCCAAAGGCACCAAGAAAGGAGATCAGAGTATCATGTGTGAGGAACAAAGAAAAGGCCAATCTGGCTGGATCATGGAGTGCAGGAAGGGGAATAATATCCATTGAGACTGGAAAGATAAGTTGGGGGCCAGGTTGTATAGGGCCTTAAAAGCAAACAGAGGAGTTTACACTTAATCTAAGAAGCAACAGGAAGCTCCTGGAGTTGCTACAGAGTACAAAAGAAAAAGTGCCAGACTCAGAGTCAGAAAAGACTTGAAAAGTTTGAATTCTACTTTTGACATGGCCTATGTGTGTGACCCTGAACCTGAGACGCAGCTTCACCATCTATGAAACAAAGCAGTAATACCTGCAGAACTTACCCCACTGGGCTGCTGTGTTCACCAAGTGACAGAATAAAGCCCTATAGAGATGCCCGTTGCCATTATTCTACATTTAATTAATGCCTGTACCATTCTCATATTTTTTGGACATGAAAAAGTGTAAGCAGATAAATAATTACTGATGTCTTCTCAATTGCATTTTTTGTTAAAATACTATCAGATCTTTTTCAGTCTTTTAGAAAATCTCTTTGTGATTTATGGAGAAGTGACCCAAGTTTTTTTTGTGAAAACTGGGGCAGTTCCACCAGATTCCCACTGCACAGACTCACTTCAACAGGCACAATTTGCTCTTCCCAACTCTTGCCACTACTCCCTGTATCCTGTTGGTCATGGGGGGAAGGAGGGGAAAGGGTATCCAAATGTGGTGGTTCCACTGTCAGATTAATTATAAGAACAGATTTCTATAGATACAGAGTCACTTTTCATGTATTTGAGGTCTCCCGCTTTCATTTATGAATGCTCTCATAATTTGGCTTAACTGATTATCAGCTTTCAGCAGGATTTTTCTCCTCTTCCACTGCCTTTCATTATTTTGTGACCCAATATTGCTTGTAATCTTCTTTCATTCTTCCATACAGTTTTCTGTAAATGAGGTTATATTCTAAACCACAATCGCCCTTGTCTGCCATCTCTTACTAAGCAATGAGATCAAGTGTTTGTTGATTTCTATGCTCTTTTGGCTTCTCCAATGTGGCAATTATTTTATAACAGTCAAACGTATCTAAAAAACAGCGGCAAGAAAACAATCTTTACTTTTGTCCACTTCCCATTTTTCAAAGTCAATGGCTTAAATAAGTCAAGTTGGAGCTGCTACAATTATATACATTGTCTCCTTCACATTTTCATCTTTTCTCCAGATTTGGTAATTGGATCTTTATGCTAAGCAATCCAAGACCCGACTATACATAGGTAGCTAACTCAGAAATGAGCCCCACATCAGAAACTGTTTCACAAACATCATTTTACAATTTTCAAGATCTTCCCTGTGCCCACCTCCAAACTGAAGTCATCAAATACCAAAGTAAATGTTGACCTGGTTTGGAGGATGCTGTCAAGTTCTTCACAGAATTACTGTGGACAAATACTTCATCACGCAATGGCTATCCTGTAGCCAATGATCTTCTCTGGGTTCTCCAACAGCAGATAACATTATCTCTAGGGACATATATGAAATTTTTCCAATTTGGCAGAACCAGCCAAAGCAAGTGCTTTAGTGACACAGCCTTCAAAAACCCAGGGCTACCTGGTGGATTTTTTTTGTGGAATAAAGAAATAGAAGGAAACAGGTGAGCTGAATGTACTTACAAAGATATAGAGACTTACGTGCCACATAACTCCTAAATGCCATAAAGTCCAAAAGAACTAGGCTAGGGAAATGTCAAGCAAACAAGCTAAATACAAGAAACTGCAAGGCCAAGTGGAAAAGGTAAAGAAAACATTTGTATATGTTCAATAATACTTCATTTAAGCAATATCTTTGCAGAAAGAAATCATTAAAATTTCACTTGGAGTTGTATGAAATTGAGAGCTTTTTAAAAAGAATGAAATAAGTAATATTTAAGAACTCTAGCACATAGTATGGGCATAAAATTCTTTCTCGGAACAAGGTTTCTGCCAAAACTCCCTTCTGTGATAATAAAAATTTTTACAATAGTACTATCATTACTTTTTCCATCTGGTCTCCAAGCCAAAGATGTCACTTCTTTTCCAGTATTTTCATTTGGTGGCAAACTCCAAACCCGCTGAAAGTTTGCTAGTCGATGAAGTAAAACCTGAGAAACAGACAAAATGTCAGATTTTTTTTTAAAGTTTCCTATTTTACATGTATAAAACAGATTCTTAAAATAGATAATTTTTTAATAATAATAAAAAAAAATAAACTCAGTCACTAAGCATTTTTTAAATGCTTACTATCTGCCAGGTACTGTGATTAGGGTCAGGGATAGGAAGAAAGGCAAAAACACTGCTCCTGACCTCAAGAAGCTCACATTCCAATGGGAGAGTAATATGTTAGTAGCTATATACATGCAAAATATATACAGAGCAGAGAGAAGGTTATCTCAAAGAGAAAGTAGTTGTAGCAAGAGGGGACTAGGAAAGGTTTGCTGCAAAGAATGGAACTTAAGCTGAGTCTTAAAGCAAGCCAGTTATAAAGATTAAAGTTCCTATTTCCTAAGTCATCAACTAGCTGTTCACAGATAGTACTGTCTGAAAGAACTGTAAAAATATATTTTAAAAAACTGAAGAAAAGAGAAAATCTAATTTAATTATGCACCTAGTAAATTATCTAACCTTTTTTTGTCAATAGAAGGGCAACAATTAATATCATAAATGTACATGTGTTTCAATATTAGCACTGGGTATGCAAAGGAATATAAATATTCCTCTTTTCAGTCCATGACAATTAACACTACATCTAGCAGAATTGAAATTTAAAGTTTTTTAGTGGTTTTAGTATGCAGAATAATTACATATGCTTCAATATATAAACAACATAAGGTGGCTTTGTTGGTGACAGATTAACAAAATGAGACTTCTTGAAGAAATATTAGTGCATCAAGAATTTTTTAAAAATTAAAAAACACCCTGCAAAATTAAAAAAAAGACAATTTCAGTTGTTATAAAAGGAGGTTGGCAGCAGATGGCTTAGTTTGAGGTAGACACAGTACATTGTTTTCCTCAAACACCTGTTCCAATAAATCTTAATTCTGGCAGCACTTCAGATAAGAGCTTTTGTCGAAATAAATATTAGTAATCCAAATTATTTTATGACAGGAAAATCAGTGCATTTTGGGAAAACCTGACAACACTAGACTCATCCTTGAGTATGGTTACACTACAATAGCCATTCTTAATCAGGTTTGTGTCAAGGACCTATTTGGCAGTCTGATGAAACCTATGGAACCTTCTTAGAATAATGTTTTTAGATGAATAAAATACATAAGATTACAAAGGAAACCAATTATAATGAAATGTAGTTATCAAAATTTTTTTAAAGTTCATTGAGCCAAGGTTAACAACCCCCACTCAAGAAAATCTGATCATTGCTCTTTTATTAACTGCTTCTCCCAAGCTTGAGGATACAATGATCAAATTTAGGCTCCTACTAATTAGGTTCAATCTAAAGGAAGATATTTATAATTTAATGTTAGCCTCCAAAAGTTGATCATTTAAGAACTAGGGCATAGGATACTAGGATCCTAACAAGTAACAATCAATCGATCAACAAGCATTTATTAAGCATACTATAGACTAGGAATGGTACTAGGGATGCAAACACAATAAAAAAAAACAACACAATAAAATTCCTTCTCCTAAGGCACTTATAATCTGAGAAACATTTTTTAAGTATAAAAAAGAATAAATAGAAAGTAATTAACTACAAGGTTGTTTGAGAGGAATGGCATTAGCTGTTGAGAAATCATGTCAAAAGTGGTGTTTAAACTGCATTTTTTAAGAAAGAGAGGGATTCTATGAGGTGGAGATGAGGAAGAAGTGCATTACAGTCACTGGGGACAGCTAGTGCAAAGGTATGGAGATGGGATATGCAGTATCATGCGTAAAGAACAAAGAGGTCAGTTTGGCTAGATCCCAGAGGGTGGAGGGGAAGTAAAGTACAATGTGGTTGAAAAGACAGATTGGGGCAAGGTTACGAAGGAAGGTTGCAAACCTGGGATACTGAAAGAATGGTGATGCCTTTGACAGAAACTTAAGAAGTTAGGAAGAAGGATAGGTTTGGGGGAAAAGGGAATGAGTTTTGTATGTGTTGAGTTCGAAATGTCTCTAGACATCCAGTATGCTAAAAAAACAATCAATAAGCATTTACTACTATGTGCGAGCCACTATGCTAGGTGCTGGGGGTACAAATATAAAGAATAAAATTATCTCTATGCTCAAGCAGCTTACATGTATATGACATAAATATTTAAGTGTTCTTCGGTGCCTCTAGCATTTGTCTCCTCCTTTCACTCTGTCCCATCACCCTAGAAAACTCTCCAAAGTTGCCCTACTGAGTCAAAAACATTCTGGTTCAATTACTATCTCTGACACATGCATAACCACGATTAACCTCTCAGCCCATCGGTACTGGTGGAGGAAAATTTCCTTACACAGATGAAATCAAAGGTCCAAAAAAGTCCAAGATCCTCCGTAGTTCTCACTACAAGTAGCCTACCTTTCCAGACTCACGTCTCACTACTCCCCTTCACATATTCATAGGCTCATAAGATCTAAAGCCATCACTCAAGAAGCGTTTATTAAGCATTGTGCACAGACATTGAGCTACACACTGAAGAAATAAAAACAAAAGTGGAACTTTAGTCCCAGCCCTCAAAGAGCTTACATTTAAATGAGGGAGACAAAACGTACACATATAAATATATACATAACACATGGAAGATGAATACAAGTTGGCACTAGCATCCGAGAGGATTAAAAAAAAGCTTCACGTAGAAGAAGCACTTGAACTGAATCTTGAAGCAACACAGAGACTCCAAGAGGCAGAAAAGAGAAGGAAGTGCATTCCAGGTCTGGGGGATAGCTACTGCAAAGGCATGAAGACAGGAGAGTGAGCAGACTGAGACACCGAGAGGTGAGAAGACTTGTTCAAAATCACATAGGTAGTAAGTGTTTATTGAATGGAGATACAAACCCAAGCAAATTTTTTTTTTTACTATAAATCCAGTGGGATATTCTATAGGCCAACAAAATTACTTACTCAAATTTTCCATAGGAATCCCATGCTTTCACTTGCCCTTCCCCTGCATCTTTATTTACCAACTGAACACCTAAAAATTCATTAATGCCCAGGTTCTCCATCTAACTCTCTTCCCTGTTCCAGCATCATCCTCGAAAACCAAAAAAACCCAGAACGTTTTGCACCTGGAATCTAATTACAATTCTGCCAAATACTTGCTACATACATTGGGTAAATCACTTCACTTGTTTGAGGCAAAGTAGGGACTGTTTTTTACCTTTCTCTGTGTCCCCAGTACTTAGTACAATGTTTGAAGCACTTCACAGAAGCTTGCTGACTGAGCCTCAGTTTCCTCATCTACAATGCAGATAACACAATCTTTTAAATCCATGCTTTGCATAGTAAAAGGGTTTGCTTGTTGTTTTTTTTTTGCCTTTCCTTTGTCTTTTCATGTAGATATTTTAAAGAACAGACAATGGATAAAAGTGTAATGTGCTACTTTTCTATATATTACTGCATTTTTGGAAAATATTTTAACTTGCATGGGAAACCAAACTAGCACAATCATCAGGCCAGTGGTGGCACACCTTGCTTGCTTCTTCCATATCAGTACTTACTGTTTCTCCATTTTAATATACGACTGTTATTAACTGTTTCTGTATGATAGAATTCTTAAATAGAAAAAAATTAAAGCAAATTCGATTTCTAAAGAAAAAGAGAGAACTTTTGTCTTCTACATCAATGTTTATTTTTGTTAAGTTTTTCAAAAGCTTCTTCACTGGATTATTTTAAGGAAAAAGTGTTACAACGATATCCATGAGTTAATGATATTCTTCTTTTGTGCTCCTCCCAGAACCTAGCGCAGCCCCTTCCCCAGAGAGGGGCTCTGGGGCATCGTAACAGACTTGGAGCTGGAGGGGGAAACTGAGGCCCAGGGAGGCGAAGTGGCCGAGGCGCTGTGGGGGTGGGGGGGAGGGGTGGAGCACCCCTCCCTCTTTCACTTACCTCCCCCACTTTGTTGGCTAAGGCAATGAGGTCCCTCTTGGGAGACCAGGCCATGAAAATGATCTCCTGGGGCAGCTGCTTCTCTCCCACCTGTCGGAAGGCCGGCATCGTGGGGGTGGTCCTGCAATGACAAATACCCCTCTTCAAACTGGACCCCGGCTGCCACTTCTCCCGCCCACCCGGACCCTCCAGACTCCCGGCAGCCGTCTCCCGGCCCCGCCCCTCGCCTCCCGCGCAGCCGCATTACCGGGTAGGTTCACTTCGCTGTGGCGCGAAACAGGGACTCGTATCCCGTGCTCCCGGGCCGAGCTAGCCGCGGCTGCCGGCGAGCAGTGAGAGGCACTTCCGGGGTCGGGACTTCCTGCCGGTGCCGGGCACGCGCCCGCCAGGTTCCCCCCGCGCGCGCGCCCGATCTAGGATGACGCTGTGGCCCCCTTCGGGGAGGTGGTGGATACTTGGATAGAGTTCAGCTCTATTGCTCTCACCAGCCAGTGCTGAGCTCACCTTAGAGGAGGTTCGATTCTTACCCTCCTGGAGCTTACAGTCAAACAGCAAACAAAACACCTCCACTGGTGGCCAGAGGACTCATTTTTACAAACATTGCAATGGTGAAAAACGGTGCATTGTGCATAAAATAAGTGAAATATCATATATTTCCAAAGAAAACCAATTATATTGAAATAGTTAATAAAAATTTTTTTTAAATTCATGAGCTCCAGGTGCTTTAGAAAATCATTCCTGCTATTTTATTATTTGCACCCTCCCACCTGGTGACGCAATGATCAGCTTTGGATTCCTTCTAATCAGGATTCAAACTGCAGGGACGTTTTTATAGTTTCATAGCTGTTTTTTCAAAAACTGAAACAGCTTTGACCAGGCCTTCTTTCCATTTGTACTGAAAAGGGCAGACTGCAAAACCAGTATTTTAAATGGGGGTTCAGCATAAGGCAGGCAGTCCCATATTTTCTAAAAGGGTGACTGTAGATCACTCAATCACTTAAAAATGAAGGCCTGGTTTTCCTAAAATCCCATTCTTAGGCCTGGAATGCTTTCTGTTCTCTCCTCCACTACTGACCGCCCTGGCTTCCTTTAAGTCCCAACTAAAATGCCACCTCCTACAAGAAGGCTTCCCCAACCGGTACCTTCCCTCCGTTAATTATTTTCCAGTTGCCACGGAATATAGTTTGCTCTGTATATACGTGTTTGCATATTGTCTCCCTCATTACTTGTAAGCTCCTTGAGGGCAGAGACTTTCTTTTGCCTCTTTTTGTGTCCCCAGTGCTTAGCACAGTGCCTGGCACATAGTAGATACTTAATAAATGTTTATTGAATGAATGAATGATGCCACCATTCACAATCTTAAATGTTAAATGCTTTGCATGTCAAACTCACAAAGTGTTGAGAACTATTAACTACCTAAAAATCTGCTGAAAGATGTGCTTTTTCCAAAATAATAATCAGAGTATATGAGCTGACAAGATATTCCTTTTGGAAATTCCATACAACTAGTTAGCTACTACACTACCAAAGTAGATTCCTTTTGTTAACTACCAAAGGAGAGTAGGGGGATTAGGCATATGAAGTTATTCTAGTGCAGGAGTTCTTAACCTTTTTTTGTGTCATGAAAGCCTTTGGTAGTTTGGTAAAATCTGTGGACCCCTCATAGAATAAGGTTTTTAAATACATAAAATACATAAAATATAAAGGAGACCAAATATATCGGGGGGAAAAAAAGGTGTAATTTTCCCCCATGCAATTTCAGGGACTCCTTGAAATCTATCTATGGATTCTTGGTGGGGGAGGTCTATCAATGACCCCAGTTTAAGAACCCCTGAGTCAAGAAAATGTTCTTTCTATTGAAGAAATGTGGACTTTACCAAAAGGCTTAATTGGATTAGGCACATGAACAATAAATTTCACTAAGGCAATATAGAAACAAGTGTAGTGAGAGCATATGTGCCATGAGGGTGCCCTGTGTTTTGAAGGGAGGCAAGACAGATAGACATCTCTCTCCTCTTCTGCCCCTCACCCCCAAGAGAGACTTGAATTACTTCCAAAAGGGGAAGCAGGGAGTTGGGGCCGAAACTTACTTTACTATTTTGAGGTGATAAACAATACAAAGCACATTAGGGAAGACTTGCCGGGATGAGTGAGGTTTCTTGCAGGAGGGAAGCAGAAAGTTTTGTAGTTACCTCAGAATCAATCAGCTTTCCCCAAATTGAACAATCAAGAGGAGCTGTGAGGCTTCTAGGACTATTTACATGACAATGCTGGAGTTGTTGCACTGGGGAAAAATAGTTCATATCAGCAACAAGAACTGTGAATAAAAGTTACCTCTTTAATTTCAGTTTTATTCTTAGTATTTGTTTTGGTAGTCAAAGGGTTAAACTGGTTGAGTACTGAGATGGGAGGCATCTGTGCATAGTTTTATGAGAATTTAAAAATTTTTTATTTCCTTTTATTAATTTTTTTGGGGGGGAGGAGGGTCAGGACTGTTTCTCCTAGTTAGGTTATTGAGCAGGCTGAAACCTATCCCATAAAATGTGAAATTTTACCTGAAGCTTGAAAGATTCCTCAGAGAAGAAGCCAAAAAGAGAGTCAAGCCTTCTGCCAAGTAATTTGACTTACCTGATTTGAGGGAGAATTCACTTGACCATAGGCATGTAAATCTCCCTTCCCAATCAGCTCACTCAACCCTCTAAATGTAGTTTAATGTGTAACCTTAGTTTACCTATAGAGTCTGTTTAACTAGATTTGTTTCCTTAAGCCATGTATGAGAATATAATTCTGCTTAACTAAGTTTAAGTTTTATGATCCTGCATGAAGCTTGGGATTATGAATATATGTGTGTGTGTGTATATATATATATATATATATATGCATATATATGTATGTATATATACGTGTGTGTTAAGAGGATGTATGAAATTGCTATATGTAAAAGAATTACTTCTCTATCTCTCTAATGTAACTTTGTCTATAAAAAGCCTCGTTAGTGTCCTAATTTTTGTTCAGGGTTATTTTTTTAAAGTCCTGAACCTGTGCTTAAAAGTAATAAAACATGGTTTTTACCTTTATAATTTCTGCGTTATGGTAAATTTATTTCAGCACCAGTAACTTACCCCATGAACTCAGAGGAGACATTTCTCTCGTAACAATAGAATGGAGTCAGGCTCCCTGGATATAAAAGAGAGGCCCTCACAATGACATTTGTAAAAACCTTGATAGCTTTATTTTATCTGTGGGTCTATCTATCTAGACTAGAGTGCAATGGATAGAGTGCTGGGCCTGGAGTCAGGAAGACTCATCTTCTTGAGTTCAAATCTTGCCTCAGATACTTCTAGCTGTGTGACCCTGGGCAAGTCACTTAACCTTGTTTGTCTTAGTTTCCTCATCTGTAAAATGAACTGGAGAAGGAAATGGCAAACCCCTCCAGCATCTTTGCCAAGAAAACCCCAAATGGGGTCACAAAGAGTCTAACACAACTGAGCAACAATCTATCTTTGGTCTAGAATTGTGATTTCATTAGCGTAAGGAACTCCCGTCAGGAAATTCTATCTACCAATGTAGAGCTGCAGCTAACTCTTTAAGACATTTTAGTCACAGAAAGTTGCTTGGGGCACTAAGAGGATGAGCGATTTGCTCAGCATCACACAAGCATGATGTATCTGTCCTACCACTAAGGTTGTGAGGATCAAATAAATATTTGTAAAAGCACTTAGCACTGTGCCTGGCATGTAGTAGGTATTATCTATATAAATGCTTATTCTCTTCCCTCCACTGACCCTTAATGTAGTCTGAAAGACATTCAGGATCCCAAAGGGCAGTACAAGAAAGCCTCCAGACAGAACAAAATTGGCAAAGTAGAAGCTTTTCCCTGAAATCAGGACCCAATTGTTTAACACCACAATTTTTCTAGTTACGTTATAAGGCTGCAAATGATGCAGCATCTGAAGAATTAAAGACAGAAGTCACCCAAAGAGCAATGGAGAAACACATGCTGGATGTGAGAAGGCTGCAAATGGGAATTACTTGGGAGAAGTGGTGTAAAAAATGCTATCAGGGCGGGTCATGTACCCAGAGTGCCTGTATGTTCCATTGGTATTCAAGCAGTGTCCAGATTAAACTGACCATGTTTGAGGGAAGCCACGTGGTTTCCCTTATGCAGTAGACTAGCTCCAGATTGGGTGCCAGAAGATCTAGATCTGAACACCCCGGAGCTACCACTCTACATTCTGGGGGAGCTTGGGCAACTTTGCTTTTATGTAAGATGAAGGGACTACATATAAGATGCCCTCTGAGTTACCATTCCAGCTCTAGGTGTATGATTTATGACTAGATGTCCTCTAAACTCTCTTCTAGAGCGAAATCTAAGCCTATGACTATGCTAATGAATGTCAATAATACTAGCAGGGCCAACAAAAAGGGTAGGACATTTATCCAAAGTGGAAATTGGACTACTATGTACAACAATGCATATAAGGGGCAGGTAGGTGGTACAACTGATAGAGTGCTGGGGCTAGAGTTAGGAAGAACTGAGCTCAAATCCAGCTTCAGACACTTGCTAGCTGTGGGATCTTAGGCAAGTCATTTAACCTCCATTTGCCTCAACTGTAAAACTGGGATAATAACACCTAGTTGTGAAGATAACATGAAAAAATATTTGTAAAGTACATAGCACAATGCTTGCATATAGTAGGTGCTATGTAAATGCTAGCTATTATTATTAGCAGGCTTGTTACCTATAGTTTTTTTTTTTTTTTTTTGCCAGATTTATGGAGGCTCTATAAAGTCCTTCCTGTACAGTACTACCAATGTTGATGGACAAAAGAGAGCAAGAACATTCACATAAATTTCAATCATTTCCTTTGGGGTTTTGTTTCGGTTTTTTTGGCCATTCAGTGATTTGGCTTCTCAACAAATACAGACTGTTTCCCATTGTGGGAAGTGTATAATGGAAAGAGCACTAGAATAGTAGTCAGAAGACCCTGCTTTCAGTTCCAGATCAGCCAATTATTATATATTTTCTTGGATGAGTCAAAATTTCTGATCCTTTCACAACCTTGGATAAAGGCAGAACTCTTGACCAAAAAAGAGACAGTGAGGATAACATGAAAGAAAATAAACAATTTTGGTTACACAAAATTGAAAAGGTTTTGCACAAACAAAATCAATAGCTAAAATTTATTTCTAAAGATTTTATTCTCTCTTAATTGAACTAAATTATACCAAATAAAACAGGCATTTTTATATATATAGGTCCTCATCTAGGTCACCACACCCCCACTGACCCTGTGTCCCAAAAGGCTCTGTCCTTAGCTCTCTT